ACGTGCTTCGCGACTACTAGTGATGCAGTTGAAAAAGTCGAAGTAGCAATTTTCGAGAAATCCTTGTTGAGACCTTGTAACAAGATCTTCCCTACGTAGATAGTCTGATAATTGATCTTTGACAACTTTCCCCACAATTTGCAAGAATACTGAAGTTACATTTATAGGTCTTTAATTGCAAATGTTTGCCTTATCACCAGATTTGTAGTGTGGAATTATAAAGCTAATTTTCCACTCATTAGGGTAGGTGCCAGTGTCCATAGATATTGAGAAGAATTTAAGAAGTAATAGAGGAATACCGCACGTACTGTTTTTGAAAATTATTGAAGCAAGGCCGTCCGGTCCCGTGCTAGTAGAATGCTTAAAGCTTTCAACTGCTTGTCCTATTAATTAATTGGTGAACACTACGCTTCTGAGAGAGGAGCTAGTAAAGGGTGCAGTTCCACAAGAAATGTGTGTTTCTAAACCAAATTTTGCAAACCACTCACTGAAAAGTTAACAGATAATGGCAAGCTCATTGTAGATTACTTTGTCGTGAAGTAAGTAAGGGATGTCCCACGTCGACCGCATTCGTTTTTTAAGAAGTGTTGTTAGGTTATAAACTTTGAAAGTACTTTTAAGTGCACTTAACTCTTCGTTGAGGTCCTTCTCAGGGCGCAGGCACTTGACAGATTCAGGTAACCTGTGGATCAAGTGCACTAGTGATTTTTCCTCAGTGGAATAGTACTGTTTTATCAACTTCCTTAACTCATCGCAGTATGCCCTTGCAATGCATTCAGCTAGGTGCCTACTTAATTTCACTACCTTCTTAGGAGCAACATTATCTATATAAAAGGTAACATTCCGGTAGAATAGGAACACTACAGCCCCCAGACAGTCAGTGGTAAAATATTCATTCCATTGACAGAGCCGAATGAGTTCTTTGACTAATCCCTAGTCTCCATGTTTGTAACTACGGCATATCATGCTCCCTGAATCTTGTTTGTTCCCTGTATTTGGTGGTGAAAAAAGCAGAGAGTAGAGTACCATTAAATGGTCACTACTGGAAAATCTGTTACCAACTGTAGGAAGCCTAAAGAGTTGCTCTGTGAAATTTCGGAAGGATTTTGAGGTGGGGAATCGATCCTAGTGTTAGATATATTTAGTGGATTCGCATTGGAACCAACGCTATTACTTACTGCCTGCCTTTCTCAGTCAGTGATGTTGTTCCCGCAAATGCTCAAACCTAGTACCGATAGTTTCAAGTGGGAAAGCGTAGCAAACACTTCGAAATGCGCTTCTTCGTTTCTCTTGTGCGTCACCATCCACAAATTCACTTGCAGTTAAGATTAGTAGACATCGTCGAATCATCTGCACTAAGAGCCGACATGTGAATGGTTTGTAATGAATTTTATATTCAGAAATGCAGTTTTAATTTGGTTTTGTTAGTTACTATGTATGATTAACAATTTATTTTGCATCTGTCTGTAGATTTTCGATTCAGCTATCTTAAATGAAAATTAGGGAAATAATATTGTCAATGTATTCATAATAGAAAAGGCGAAGTACAGCAATTCCAAGGCTCCTTGCACCGGCCTTGAGCGATTTACAGGTTATATTGGGATGGATATACTCCTACTTCTCCTTCGCCAAAATGTTTTATGTGCTTGAAATAGTAGATAGCTTTCCCAGTTGTAGTTTTTTGCTGAGGCAGTGTAGTCGATTAGCCGTATTCTTAAGTTTGGGTGTATATGAAGACGCTGAGACTCAAAATACCTGTCGAACGCTAATTATCTTTGTCACCCTGAAAGATAGCATTCCATTAACTATAATTAAGTTGCATAAGTTCAAGTACTGTCTCTATTAGCATATATTTTTCTTAACAGTTATTTCAGAGCAAGCATCAGATTAAGAAATATACGAAGTGTTGGATGGGCGTAATCATACCTCTGTTAAAGAACACATCACTTGCACTTTTAATGAACAGACACAAATTATAGAGTATACACCAAACTTATCGTGCATTAGTAAATAAAGGCCTTCATTGGTATGCAAAGCTTTGGACACCATTAATTTTTTTTCTAGAATAACCGCGTGTATTTAATTGACAGCGTATATAAGAAGCCTTCGAGGTTGGTGTCAGTTCGTGGTAGCGACCCTATTTGCTCATTAACTTTTTATTGCTCCTGGATGTAAGATGAATAACTACACTTCTTCAAAGCAAGAGGTCACGTTATAAAAAACTTGTTCCACAACTTCTATTATCACGCTACAGTCACTAATATTTATCAGTACTTTGAAATCGCAGATTTAAAGCCGTTGGTTACCTACGTAAACTAATAATGAACACATCAAAATAATTTCCAGATTAAACCAACGCACCTCAAACTATCGGCACTTATATGAGATTAAGCATATTTATCTTCACTACACACAGAATTCTCTAGCTTAATTGCACAGTGACTAAGGAACAAAAACACTGGTTCTTCGATGTGCAACAATATTTACAAAATATAAACGGTTTCACATAGTGACAAAATATTAACATTAGAAGTCACTAGATTTTAAATCTCAAGAGTTTGATAGCCCTAAATAGAAACTCCACATAGAAGCAAACAGTGAAAGAATAAAAACGGCTTTTTACTATGGAAATGCGGATACTTTCAGCTACTAACTGTTAGATGTCTTAATGGATTCTCGATGAATATGCTACAAGTCCATTTTATAGCACTTAAATTCATACGTCATTGGGTAAAATGTTATATTAAGCAGGTAATAGAACGGCTAGTAGTAATGATAATAATAATAGAAAAGGCAGTACCTACAGATTTTTATGCGTGACTAATGCATGGCTAGAACGATAAGATAAAATGGCAATCGAAACCCTATCGTCTATTTCATAGACTTTGAAATGGCGTTGCGTTGGCAGAGAACTAATTCGAAAACTACTTAAACCCTATGATGTGCAGTGCCGAAATTCTTAATCAACCTCATCCAAAGGTTATGTGACGATGGCACTTGTGAAGTGATCTTCAACGGAAAACTCACAGAAGCCTTTCGAAGTGAATACAGGAAGTAAGTCAAGACTGCCTATTATTAGTAGCGATGATATTCCCTATTATAGCGGACTGCACTATGTGCCTAAAGATACGGAATTCGCGGACGATTTGTGTTGAATGACACACCAACTCGAAGAGTTGCAGGCAAAAACCAACAAACTGGATGAAGAGGCAGTGAGTGAGAATGGGACTCTACGTGAACATAGAGAAGACGACGAATACCACTGATCACTACCAACGGGGGAAATTAAAAGAGGCTACTCCCAGCACTTAACCAGGAAGCACCATTTCAACCAGAGGCAGTCGAATCGGATGATGTCAAAGCCACAAATGGAGAGGTCAGATACGACTTCATCAATCCGAAATCAGTTTTGAAATCTCCTTAACTCAGCATAAGGATTAATATTTGGATTTCCATTACCAATGTCCAGTCAGTTAGCAATTCAATATGAGTAAGAAACTCGGTCAGCGCATAACGATGAGCATTTCCAACAGGCTGTAAACATTTATCAACAGCCGCCCACGTTGAACACCAAATGGTGAGAGAATTAGAAAAAGAAACTACGGGAACAAACAAACCAAGAATCCACCATTCAACAAATATGTAAGAGATGGATTGGGCATACAGTGAAGAGACCGTCGAATGACATCCCACACCAGGTTCTCAAGTGGAACCCAAATGGGAAACGATGAGTGGGTCATCCCAGGGTGACAGCGGAGGTGGTGAGAGACTATGGGCAGTCATGGGTCCAGTTACAGAAGACAGCAAAAAACAGAAAAAAGTGGAAAGGTGCTGCTGAAACCCTACGTTCCACTCGAAACCCAAAGGAAAAATGATCAATGACTATAATATATAAGCCAAGAAAGAGACGGAATGAAAAAGCCTCTTTGAATACACATAAAAGTCATATATCATGACTTTCCACAGATTCAAAAAAACAGATCAAGAAACTCCAACAGATAACAATCCGTGACAGGAAGCTATTCTGACCACTTCCAAATAAGTTTCGTAAATGAAACAATTCGTAGGATCAAGAGCATTTAAGTGTGCAACTTATCTTATGGAGACTAAACTAATCCTTAACTGAGTTCAGTCTGCAATCATCAATAAGTAGGCAGAGATGACAAAACACAACGCCTCTCAACGAACTTACTAGTTTCACAACACATAAATAACTGCTATGGGAGTTCCAGTGTGATAACTCAGCTTCGACTCAGGCGCTTAGAGATAGACTGGACATTGATGTTGAAGAGTATCCGGACAAGCGGACGTGATATGTACTCTGAGGCCTGACAAACAGATGAAGTTACTCGAAACACTTAATTAGGATATTCTATGCGTGTCACAGACGCAGTATGTACATTTGAAGACATATTTCTTAAGCTATCTGTTGTCTGACATTCATCAGTGTAGAAACGTTATAGGTAATAATAATAATGATAATAATAATAAGCTTTGACGGGATACATGGTATCAGACCAGCTGTATCACATATTGCATTGACAGAAAGCTTACTTCAGGCGATCTTTTATCGATGTATCAAAATGGTGCAAATAAAATAAGGTCTCAAGCAGTAAAGAGTAGACAAGACAAATCTAGATCTGATATTGATAAAACAGTAATGTAGCAAGGTGACCCACTGCTTACTCACTATGTGAAAACCTGATTTTAAGGTGGCTAATGTACTCTGACCTTCAGTGGTAGGGAAAAGGGATTATTATAGTACATATATGATACTGGAACCGGCGATCAAGACAAGTGAGTAGAGTAGTACACACCATTTGCCACTACTTGGAGTGATTAGCCAATTTTCTTCTTGTAGATTTGTATACTGGTTCGAGTATATTAATAATCAACGGGATTAGTGGCTATCATAAGTATCACTGTGCAGACAAACTCTAAAACACTTTTTCCACGACAAGGATATTTCAATTTTCACTCAAGTGAAAAGAAAGTAAGAAGCGAGACGGACTTTTATTTTAATTAATGGGTAATATCAAAACAAATTCATTGAGACGACTCCATTTCATAAAACCAGGAGAAAAATGAATCATCAGCCGGAACTTTATGTCCATTATTTCAAACCTGAAAGAAGAGGAAATTTCTTCGGTAACTTTTGGAAATATTATTTAGCTGAAGTAATAAAGAAAAGAAACATACCGTGATAGAAGGTTCGGTTTGCTTGATTTCTGACACTAACTGACTATCTAGAATTTCAGCAGCTTTCCGGTCGTCGCCATCAGTAATCGTCTCCAGTTCGTTTTTCACTCCATTAACCAACTGTGGCCAGAAAAAATTTACAATATGTTTTAATCAGTGACAAAAACAATATTTACTAAAAAACAAGAATGATTCTGGCAAAACAATCTGATATAGTGTGTGGAATCTGAGTGTTCTATTATTCGGTCGAATTTTTTACGTCGCAGCAGAGTTCGACCGAATGGTGATACTCCTACATGTCACACACCAAGTTAGACTGATTTCGTTTAAATCAAGTATTGGTGAGTTATGAAAAAGTGATTCACTAATCAATAAGTATTTTAAACAAAGTGTAGGTTTGATTTTACGTGAACTAATATTCTTTTGGCTATAAATTGTAACTAACGCGTGTAATTCATAAGTACGTTGAATGGGGCTCAATTATAACGTGTGTGATATCGGTTACACTGAATTCGATATGTTACGATTTGATTACATACAAGGACCACAAAGAAATCTAAAAAAATTTTAATTTATTTTGATAACTGCGGTTTGGATTTGTGACATTAAGGCTTCAACGGGCTACCCGTAATATAGCTTCACAAGGGAGGAATTCACATTGTACTTTTGAAAAGTTATTCTTGATTGTAAAGATAAGGAAATAGCTAGTGAAAACATAAGTAACGACTGCCACGATGACAGTTATATGCATATTTATGTAGTGAGCTACAGTGTAACCCCAGTAAACTATGTGTACTTAAAGAACTAATGAATCAGATTCTTTTCACCCACTGCACTGCTTTCAAAACTCCCTAATATTTGTTTCTCACTACTTGCAGTTAGTAATTCAGTATTATCACTTTGACATGTTACCGGTCAGTTTTTTTCCTTTTCAGCTACATCATAATTGTCAATTACACCATCAACCAATTTGCTTGTTATTTAATTACATTTTCCCTCTTATCTAATTTCAAACCCTTACTTCTACTGCTCCCAAAATGGCTAGGGAATTTCCTTGTATTTTAAGGACCTACTTCTGGGTAACTATCAATTGTCACACCGTTTATCATTCAGTCACGGTGTCGGTAAACATAGTTGCAACTGTAAAGCCCTAGGAAAAAGATTTTCTCCTGCTGAACGGCCTTCGATTTTTCTTCATGACTCAATGAATCTTTTGGTCTTTAATAGGACTGATTGATCAAAGCAATTACTGGAAAGACGATGATTTGCGACTGTTTGCTGATAAGTGAAAAACATACAGAATATATTTCTTCCAAAAAATTGAACATGTAACTCGTCTTACAAATGTTATTATTGAGGAATAACTATAACAACAGAGAACACAAATTCATAACGCTAACTTACATCTTCCTTAACATGTGAATCGAGATTTGTCGATAATTCAGACATAGCCGCACCATTTCCAGACTCTACTTCACCATAATTAGCAGTATCACTATCACGACAGCTAAGAGTGACATCCCTTTCCTGTAAAAGAGAAAACAATGTCATAATTGTGTTTTTAAAAACAAAATAAAAGTATGAAAGGAACGCGTAATCTTACAGGTATAGATGATTCTGAAGTTCTGGTTTTCTTGGGAGATTTCACAGAGTCTTTGTTACTTGTTGTCGAACAAGGAGACAATGAACGCTTTGACGATTGTTTGCATGACTCACTAGTGGAGTGACGACTATGAGCACGACTAGAGGCTTGACGAAGAGCTGAGCGGCAGGCATCAAGGACAGACGCCTGTTGGTCTAATACACGAGCCATGCTATCCACCCTATCTCTTTCATCTCTGTAACGCCGTCGAGATTCTTCCAAAATTGAAACAGTTTTCGATAATTTCTCCTTAAGATTTGTGAAGTCAGCAACAGACGCACGAAGCCGACCTGCAAAAAAATTAGGAAAAAATTAAAACATGACTGGCAATCAGTACGGAACTATAGCAGTGAGACATTACAAAAGATCAAAGAGTGAAAGACATTGATTTTAAGTGAGAACGATGCGAAAACTCACTGATTTCTTGCTCTTGAAGTCGTATTTTGGTCATTAATTTGTGTTGTTCTTGTTCTGACGTTCGTATATGTTGGAATAACTCATCCGGATTTGATATCTTAGAACAATCAGCTTTGTCTGACTTCTGAAGCACAATAATACTGAAAAGCAGGAAGTTTCATTAGTAAATGACAATGAAAAGATAAACAAGTACAAGTATGCGGAAAGTAGTAAATAAGATTAGAAAACTCGGTACCCATTCAAAGAAATAACAACGAACAAGAAACTGATGAAGTAACGGACATTCATATATATGTACTAAATAACATCTGTCACCGATGTGACTTCCTTTTAAATGTTGCGTTCGTAATTACCATGAAAACTAGTCCCAGTAAATTTACTCGTGAATGCTTAATGAAGCATTGCTTCGCAAAACTAGATGATGAAAACACTCGATTTTACTAACAAGCAGTAGTGGAAATTCGTGGTTTTCACAAAACAGACGGAAATACATTCTCGAAATCTTCAATTTCTTAAGATCTGATACGTCATTTATTGGTTTAACAGTTAGACTTAACTATCATGGAATATTATCACAGTTGCTCATTGATATAATTTGAAATAGAGTAGACCAGGATAGAATCCTAGACAAGTAATTTAGTAAATAAAATTTATGCGGATTATATACCAACCACATGCCGCGTTGTATTTGTTACGTGAAACAGAAACTTACCTTCCACTAGGTATGGCGTCGGTCTGTTCATCTAAAATGGCGTCACCTCCACGGACAAGTTCTAAAAGATATTCATCATCATCAATATCAGAAAATATTAGAGATGACTTGTTTGTAAGAGAGAGGGGTTCCTCGGAATCTGTCAACGACCGGTAGTGAAAACGACCATGATCAAGGACTTTAAATATAAGAGACCTTAGCTAAATAACAGAAAGAAAAGAGCAATTGATGAACAGAGAAATGTTGACTGAATAACAACAGACACTTAGGACTATATATACAAGCAACTACATATTTAATGAAACGAATCTATTCTTGGAAACTTGATGTTATAATGCAATATTCAATTCTAGGAAGCAGGATGTTTTAGAATTGAGGATGATTTCGATATATATATACACTGGGGTACTGAGTATCCGCGGTCTTGTTGTCTACAGATAACGCAATATCATCTTTGAGGGGAGTAATCCGTAATGCGCTATTCTGACATTAAAATGCAATCAAATCAACAATACTGAAATCACTGAACATGCAATCATAGAATTTGATTAAAAAAACGCATTGATACAGAATTTTGTAGTGGTGTTTTGATATAGCTTGTCTTCATACTAACATACCAATCAATACAGCCTTGGAAGCAGTCAAAAAAACTAACTGCTGGTTCCAAACTCATGTGACAAACTCGAACATAAGGGACATTACTTCAGGGACTCTATTATTTCTCACGTCTACTATCTTTGAATTCCACGGTAAAATATGCAGCCAAACAGAAGAGTTAGCAATGAGATCAATAACGTCCCCAATTGTAGGTCTTTCGGATAACTGGGAAAAGTTTTAAAACAAGTATATGTGGATGATACCTTCATGTTAGCAAGAGCGTAACATACCCCCAACTTCTTTGTACATATATACTCAGTATTAGCGGGGACATAAAATAAACAAGGAAGCAAAACGGAGAGGGTAAAATATGCAGCGTTTTCAAGATACAATACTACACTAATAGGCATTCAGTTGGACTGTGGTAACTCGAGCTGCTGCATTTATATGCCTAGTTGTATGCTGAAAATAACTGGTATTCAGACGGTAAGCCGATAAGATGTGAAACCAAAGGGTTAGAAATAATTGAATTACATAAAAAAATACGATAGCTATGTAAGTAAATGATATGACTATGAGCGATAAATAATAACTGAAACCTTATCAAATAAGACATGCTGTATCATCGTTTTTAATCAAATAAAATTATATCATAGTGCCTGAATTTTATTCTTACATCACTGGAAATCAACCAAATAATCTACTCAAACCCTGTTGTATTTTGACCTTCAAACAGTGCGCTTCAAATTAGTAGTAATCTCAACTATTCATACATATTCGAAATACAGTTTAAAACGATTAAACTAGGTTTGATGGGAGAAAGTCGATTATTTAATTGACCAGCAAGAGACAAATATAAAAATAACAATCTACGGTCTGGATATGTGAAGAACGTCAATAAAGTCAAACTTTGAAAATGATAGCTCACCTGATACCTAGACATTGGCAAACCCAAAGATAGAATGAAATCCTCTACTTCTGATGAAAGAAAATAACTTTTATAACTTGTATCCAGAACTGTGCATGCAAAAAGCAGAGGAAGATCGGTTGTGTACAGAGGGACTTCTTTGCAATCATCATCCATTGTTACTGAGGTTCTTTCACCGCGTTCCAAACGTGCGCGTTTCGCTGCGTAATCCGGTTCACTTAATGTATAAAAATAATGGAGTTACGAAGTCGAAATTGGAGCACATTTACACAACTTTGTAAACCAACATTCAAACTGTTATAATGAGATAGAGCGTCACAAGGTAACAAATTATATTAAATTTTTATCCTAATATTCTAATATATCATGCATACGAGCTTAAGATGCAAACTTCGACCTTGTAGCAAACTTATATTCCTAAATGCGAAAATTATATCCAAGATGTTGTGACATTAAAATAAGTACTATTATCAACGCACACAATACAACTACTCAGAGGTAAAGCAAAAGCAATAAAAAACAATTTTTACGATACCTGCGTTTTCTGGGTTTGGCGCATATTCCCCTATCTGCAGCGGTGACCAAGGCGCGGAACAAAGTAAACACAGAATCTCTGCGTAACATATCGAATATAGTATGGACGCAAAACATGAGTTCGTATGATCTGCTATCCATGAAATTGGATTTCGAATCCATAACAACCTTGAAGAATAATAAACAAGATATCAGTTGCGAAAAATAGCTCGTAAGCCATGTTCAAGTAATATGTACACGAAGCACTTAGTACAACGTTTCAGACGAAAACTAATAATAATGGACTATGAATCGAAAAAGGTACCACATAGCATAACACATTACACAATGGTTTTCGATGTCTGCTAAGTGAACCAGAGGTATCCAACAATGTGACAGATACAGAACATTGATGAGCACCCTGTTATTCCAGTGGAAACAATAACTACATAGCGGACGGGCGCATTTCAAAGGCGGGCTCTCCTAATGTACTTTATAACACCTCCTGCTATTAATCTGAAAAATAAAATGTTAATATCCATGGTCAGGTTCAGTCGCTATAGGACTATATTTTGTAGGATTTTCGAACTGTAACACATACACGCAACAGAATAAATTATCAATAAATAAACTTAGACTAAACACTCTAAACAAGCGAAAAAAGTCTGAAATAAAAATGTTTTCAACAGTGATTGGGAAATCAATTCCCTCAATTATGGGAAAAAATTCAAATTTGTGACCTTTTAGCCTATTTCGATGTTTTAGCGACCAGATAAAATATTAACGCAAAGGAAATGCGAAACAACGAAAACCTGGCTTACATTGTGCTCGAAACGTCATCAGTAAACACTACTGTATAACACTGTGAGACTTTATCAAAACAAAATTTACCCATAATGACTTACATCTAGACCAACTGACTGTATACTAAAGTCAACATTACGTCTACGTAATATTATTAGTGAGGGAATATCACGTAAAGCTGGTTTGAGTAAGTCAGTTTTCAATTTTGATCCAGATTCTATTTCCGAAGCAGGTTTGGTTTGTTTGTCCCCAACTTGAAGTGATTTTTCAGGAGCAGCTTCCTGGGAAACTTTTGCACGTTCTTCCTCTGAAAATATACAAAAGTGAAAAGGAATACAAATTTAATAACAGAAGATAAACACATAGAGATAACCTGGGGTTGTTATAAATACAGACTTACTCTCTTTTTCAGCCTTCTTAGCGGACTCTTGTTCTTCATGAATGGCCAACTTCAGACGAGCTAGTAACTGAGCTTTCACTCCTTCCGTAGGTAAATCGCGGGCCTTCAACTGTTCACGGAGTTCAGATACCTACAGACAATGAGGAAATCGTATTAATACGTACTTCAGTGGCACAAACAAAAAAAACATTATACTATGAGAAGACAGAAACAGATGTTAGCTTGTTGCTGTAATCTTGCTTCGTTACAGTAACATCAAATTTGTCACTCTGTACATCTTTCAGAGCGCAATACTTCGAAAAATGGAAAGAGGAATAAAAAAGAATTACAAAGTAAAAGTGTAAGTAGGAAGGCATAAACAAAGTGAAAAGAGAAATACTTGAATTCATGAAATGGTATTGAAACATGCAACCAATGATTCTGAACATTTTAGAAGGCGTAGCCTACGATCGGAATAACTACATACAGTTTGTTTATACTATACTACAAACAGAATGAAAGTGAAAAAGAATAAAACTTACCAACAAATAATTTACAACATACAATAGACCTAAGCCAATACCACTAATTAATTTTTTAAACACAAATCCACAGTTAAGTAAATTAAATCCTGCGGGCGATATTGGCTGACTGACTGGTTTCAACATAGGACTTTGCACCAATGTGCAGCAGTTTGAAGCGCCACACTTCACTCAGCACACAGATCCAGTGAGGAAAGTAAAAGGAAACGCAAAATAGAGACAATCAACGGAGATATGAGGCAGAAAGAATAGTAATATCGAAGAACAATATAGTTTTATTGGAAATTTTATGTCACAAGGAGTGGATGCATCTGCGCCATTGGAAGATATTGAAACCAACTAAATAGGATAGCAGACAAGAGGAAGAAATGGAGATGTGCTGGAGAAGCCTCATATTCCAATTGGGATCCAAAGGAATAATAATATATAATTAACTTCAGCTGGAAGAGAATCCAGATGAAGAAAACTACGGTGTGAATTAAAGTATTTCGATTTGTTAGAGATTTTATTTCGTTTGCTTAATCACAATCCTAACACATAACATCCATTGCATGAATGGACATTTGAAGTAACAAAATACTCGAAACCAGTACAGCAGATCACAAAAATGAATCTACTCAATATCTGTGCGTCAAAGGCAGCACTGATACAAAAACCCAAAAGAACGATTATCTCACAGAAAATAACAAACACGGAAAAAGGTGAACAGTTGGTCACGACTACACATTAAGGCTAATGGTAATTACAAAATATATCAAGAAGCTGAATGTGATAGTTAGCAGGTGAAAATAAATACAGTTATCTCTCGAAGTTATTGTTTACTACGTATAGCAGATAGCCGACCACAGGAAAATAATCTCAATTTCAAGAGCATTAACACATCAGTACAATTACATTCGCAAACTTGACGCGACCTAAACAGTGTTTACAGTACGACTATCCGCTTGAATAGTATAAGATATGTCTGGCTGACCCAGACCGTACCATTCAATCATCGTAACTTTTCTCTACCAATGAAGTCATTGATTGACTGAAAATCGTATATCAGATAACGGGTCCCAGGTTCGTGACAAAGCAAGACTTCACAAAGTCTTTTGGACTTTTCTCTATCACTGAAGGCCAGAGTACATTAGCCACCTTAAAATCAGGTTTTCACATAGTGAGTAAGCAGTGGGTCACCTTGCTACATTACTGTTTTATCAATATCAGATCTAGATTTGTCTTGTCTACTCTTTACTGCTTGAGACCTTATTATATTTGCACCATTTTGATACATCGATAAAAGATCGCCTGAAGTAAGCTTTCTGTCAATGCAATATGTGATACAGCTGGTCTGATACCATGTATCCCGTCAAAGCTTATTATTATTATCATTATTATTATTACCTATAACGTTTCTACACTGATGAATGTCAGACAACAGATAGCTTAAGAAATATGTCTTCAAATGTACATACTGCGTCTGTGACACGCATAGAATATCCTAATTAAGTGTTTCGAGTAACTTCATCTGTTTGTCAGGCCTCAGAGTACATATCACGTCCGCTTGTCCGGATACTCTTCAACATCAATGTCCAGTCTATCTCTAAGCGCCTGAGTCGAAGCTGAGTTATCACACTGGAACTCCCATAGCAGTTATTTATGTGTTGTGAAACTAGTAAGTTCGTTGAGAGGCGTTGTGTTTTGTCATCTCTGCCTACTTATTGATGATTGCAGACCAAACGCAGTTGGGGATTATTTAGACCTACTTTAATTATGTTGTTAAAGTTGCTGCATCTTTAGTGGCTAATGTCGGTAATCCGTACCATATGAGAACTGCTAGTAGTTTCAAAATGAAAGTGACTACATCAAAATTCTTACCTTCATGTTAGCCAAATTGAATTCATTGTGTAGCTTCATATGACTCTTTTCGCTGCCCTGAAAATGAAAAAAGAATAGGAGTAGTGTGGTACCAGAATTAATATCTTGAAGCATATATGTGCACCAATATTATGATAACGGAATGTGAACCAAAAAATTTACACTTTAATTTAGATACACTCTAGTAACATAACATGACAACAGTAAGTTAGTTAGCAACCTCTTGAAACTGATTTCCTTGAGTTGTCGGACTTTTGAGATCCAGTGATTCCGAGCCATCCTCAGCTTCGCAGATACTTGCAACCTTTGATATTTGGTCCGGATCGGCCAATGGACGAGCAGCAAGGATGTCGTCGGACAGTGTTGGAGAGATTGACTTGAAACTATCGTCTAGTTTGTATATAGTGGAATTTTCACTTGCATTGTCATCAATTAAAAATTTTTGTGGATTCGAACTCCTTTCGTCGACCGCCTTTGATTTTTCATCACCGATTTCCTTGTGTGTCGATTCTAAGCCAGAAAACTTTTTCACATCGGAAGGACACATTGGGAATACGCTAGATCCTTTGGAAGACAAAACATTTTCGTAGGCAGTCTTGATCAACGGCCACTCCTCATCTGTAGGCATGAGGGACCAAACATTTGGGATGAAGTAAACAGCTATTTGGTGAAATGGTTTGCTTGGAGGAATCACATCAGCAGTAGGAGAGTCTTCAAACGCACGACCCCAGAGTTGTGAGCCAGGAAACAAAACAGCTGTTGGTTGGGCAGTTGAACCTTCCGTACGACTATAGCGGAACTCCAGGAAACGGTGCCTGGGGAAAGTGGATAGGATGATAATAACAGTAAAGGCGACGACGATAGAAGGTAGGTGTAAGACCCATTTGTTTGAAAAGTGCATAAATAATATTAGTTCAGTAACATCAAAAAAACTATTTGAACTAGTTTCAAAAGAATTGTCAAAGATGAAACTACACAAAGAAAAAATGACTAGTCAAAATTGACCGGGCTGACAATAATTCGGCGGCACAGTGGTTAGGACTCTCGCCGACCATGCACATGTTCCGGGGTTTGATCCCCTGCCGACGCACACCTGATATCAATGGTCGGCCTGCAAAATTTGGGCTACCGATATCCATACTGAAAATTCCATACTTGTACTGAAAATACGGTGTGGAATCAAGCTGTAATCGAAATAAAATAAAATAAATAAATCAAAAAATAGGAATGAAGCTTTAAGAGTAGAGACTTTAAGCACTGCCCTGAGTTGAACGCACATAACTAATCAATTTACGAGTTTTAGGATAAACAGTTAGTATACAAATGCGAACTGGAATGTCGAATCGAGGCACATCAGAAACTTTCTAGAACGAAATTGCTTATGAACTAAGACTGTCTGAGTCGGTCGGTTTTCGACATAGAACTTTGCACATATGTGCGGCAGTTCAAGTCGCCACAATCTATGTAGCATGCAAAGCAAGAGAAGAAAGTAGAAGAAATGCATAATATAGACAGTAAACAGAGGTGTGAGACAAAGGAATAGTAATAACGGAGAACAAAACAGTTTAATGGGAAATCATAAGTCACAAGGAGTGGATGCATCTGCGCCAACCATTGAGAACGATTTTGAGCCATGTCGCCAATTGTTTCCAACCATTGGTTTTTACCATCTCGAGGACCCCAACCAGGAAGTCTACATCTTCCTACGTGGCTTAGACTAACTGTTGTGAATTTCATTGACTGGTGCCATGTTTTCGTTTGACCGCCTCCAGCTCTTTTCCAGTCTGGCCCTATATCAGCTAACATTGCCCGTTAGTCGAGGAAGGCGATGACTAGGCATACGTAACACATGTCCTAACCATCTCAGTCGATGGAATTTCACCGTTTCGTCGATTGATTTCCCCGCCTTACCTAGCACTCACTGGACGCCTAACCTCAACATTGCTCACCTTATTATACCACTTCACACAGGAGATAGAACGCAGACACCTATGATCGAAGACAGCTAATCTTTTCATGTCTTCTGCTCTCAATGGCCAGGACTCACAGCCATAAAGGAGGACGGAGCGGACTGTTGAGCAGTACACACGCCCTTTGGTCGATAGTCGGATATCGCGTCTACGCCAGAAACGGCGAAAACTGGAGAATGCGAACCTAGCCCTCTGTATTCGTGCTGAAATTTCGTCTGAGATCAACCCGTTGGGACTGATGGTACTTCCCAAGTAATTGAAGCGGTCAACGTGTTCTACCACTTCACTTCCTATTTCTAATCTAGGGGTCGGTGAAGTCCAATCCTGCAGCATCATCTTACATTTTACAGGGGCGAATCGCATGCCAAACATACGAAGATTGTTGCTCAGGGTGTTCAGTAGACTCTGCATTTTGTAAGAGTCCTCGCCTAGAAGGACTATATCGTCTGCATATTCTAAGTCAACGAGATTATTCCCTGGTAGCAAGTCAATCCCTGAGTCGCTGAAGTGTGTTAGGGTGAAGTCCATTAGTACGTCTATGATGAAGTTGAATAGGAATGGGGATAATGGGCAAACTTGACGGACGCCACTAGTCGTCACCACTTCAGATGACAACTCGCCATAAGCCCTCACCTGGCTGCATGAGTACGAGTAGAGTGCCTTAATCAGTGCAATGTATTTTCTTGGCATTCCCTTTACAGCCAAGCATCGCCAGAGAACCTCCCGGTCGACAGACTGAATGATTTTCATATAACTAACACATATTTTAAGATGCCAAAAATAGAAAACCGGTCAAGCTAAACTTAAAGCACCACTAACAAAATTCAAAACATAGAAAATATACTAAAATTACAAAAACTGCAAATAAAAATTTTATTCTTCGCTCGAATCGGAGAGTCGAAATGACACAGCGGGCTGCTGAAAGCCTTTGGGAAGCCAGTCAGCCAATTTGTCTTCTCTCGATGGAAACGAAAGTAAGAATGGGGATGTGGAATGTCCGTAGAATGTATGAGACTGGGAAGGCTATTCAGGTAGCTAATGAGACGCGGAGATATGGCTTAGAAGTACTAGGTATCTGCGAAAGCAGATAGAATAGATGTGGATTGACAGCATTATCAACGGGAGAGTCAATTATCTACTCCGGTCACCCAGACGACAACCACTAGCATACTGAGGCAGTGAGTGGCTACCATGATGTCACCAGTGGCAACCAAAGTTTTCATGCAGTGGGAACCAATTTCATCCCACCGGATCATGACAGCAAGATTCAACTGAAAAGGCAGGAAGGAAGGAAGGTTGCAATTATCATGCAATACTGCGCAGTGCTACATACAACGTGGAACAAGAGAAGAGGAAAGATTTTTACAGACAACTACAAATAGCAATGGACAATATTCAATATGGTGACATCAAACTTCCCATGGGTGATGTGAATGCAAGCCAAACTGGGAGCAGACACCAACACAGGAGGAGAACTCATCATGATTCGAGAGACCCCCGCTCGGCGAAATGAATGACAACGAAGCATTATTCACAGACTTCTTTGCTTTCAGTGACTTGGTGATCGGAGGCAGCGTATACAAGCGCAAGGATATACACAAGGCCAGTGACATGGATTTTGCCAGACGGACACACCAAAATCCACACTGTTTTCAACTCAATGTTGCTCAAGGAAGTGGAGACGCAGCCAGCCTGCTGGACACAAAGTCGACAAGAGGAGCAGATATGTGTTCAGATCATCATCTAGTTCTAGGAACCTTCAAGGTGAAGCTGAAATCCATGAAAACAACTGGAGACATGCACAATTCAGGTTCAACATTCGTAAACTGAAGGACAAAACCACAAGGGATGCCTTCACTGCAGATCAGATCAGTGCGAAGTCGGAGACACTACGTACCACCATGGAAGGAACCTGTGTGGAAGGACATTGGAACTAACTCCCTGAAGCGATATTTAAGGACACGTGTACAACTGTTCTTGGAAGAAAGAATTGACAGGAAGAGGAGTGGCTGTCAACGGGTACCTGGAAAGCTAACAGAAGAGGGGAGGATAGTGAAAGAGATGACTTTGCAAAGATGGACAGCAGAAGGAGAAGCTGAGTTCTATGCACACTGCACTGAATAAAGAAATGAAGAGAGCTAGGAAAGACGAAAGACAATCCTACGACACATTGGCAATTGAAGCAGAACAAGGCGCAGACAAAAGGGATCTAAAGACGTTATATCAGATAACCAAGTCTCTATCCGGGAAGAGACCAACTCAGATGATGAAACCAATGAAAGATGCTCAAGGGAACCTGATTGTCAAGGAGGAGAAACAAATGAAACAGTGGGCTGATCACTTAAGGGGATTCTTGAATCGACTATCACCGGTAACTTGTCCAGAAATACCCATACCACCAACAGCACGCACAGAACTGCCTGACAGTGGACACCAATCCTCCAACGAAAGAAATTCTGAATGCGATCAAGCTACTGAAGTCCGGGAAGGCAGCAGGACCAGATGGAATTCCTCCCGGATCACTGAAGACGGCGCCAGAGAATGTGGCAGATGTTCTCACCACTCCATTACCGCAAAAAGTTTTGAAAGGGAAGATGGCTAATGATTGGAAGAAAGACTACCTTGTTAAACTGCCAAAGAAGGGCGACTCAGGCCTGTGAAAAAACTACCGTGGAATAATGCTGTTGTCACGCCTAGTAAAAAACCAAAGTCGCATCATCCTGGAGAGAATAAAGAATGCGCCGGATAGAGAACTCCGCAAGGCCTGAACAAGCTGCATTCAGGAAAGGCAAATCGTATGCTGATCAGATTGCAACTACGCATTGTCATAATCGAACAAAGCATAGAAATGGCAGTCTAACGTCCACCTCAACATCATCGGCTTCGGAGAGACCTTCTATGGAGTTGACCGAGAAGTAATTTGGAAACTACTGCAACACTACGGCGTGCAGTGCCCAAGTCTTAGTCAACCTACTCAACAGCCGGCTGTATGACAATGCCACGTGCCAAGTGATCCACAACCGAAAACTCAGAGAGGCGTTTGAAGTGCATACAGGAGTAGGACAAGGCTGCCTATTATCACCGATGATATTCTTGATTGTGGTGGACTGGATAATGCGTCAGACTGTGGAAGACAAAGAGTCAGGAATACGCTGGACCATCGATAAGACCTTAGATTTGGATTTCGCAGATGATGTATGTCTAGTGTCACAGATACTCGAAGACTTACAGGCGAAAACTAACAAACTCGCTGAAGAAGCAGTGAAGACAGGACTCCAGGTGAACATAGAGAAGACGGAGGTGATGAAGATAACCAACGAACAGCAACAACAACAACAACCAGCACCAATCACCATCAACGGGACAGATTCAACAGAGGTTACCTCCTTCACTTATCTAGCCAGAAAGCATCGTTTCAACTACAGGCAAAACAGATGAAGATGTCAAAGTCAGAATCGGAAAGGCAAGATACACAGTCATCAACCTGAAACCAGTTTGCAAATATTCTGCTCTCACTCAGAATAAACAACGAGATTCGGATTTTTAACACCAATATCATGCCGGTCCTTCTACACGGGTCAGAAACTTGCACTGCGTATCACGGAAACGATTTCCAACAACCAGTTGCAGACTTTCAACAACAGCTGCCCGTTTCGCTGGCTCCATACTCAAGATCAAATGACCAGAAAGAAAGAAAGCAACAAAAAACTGTGGGAACAAACCAACCAAGAGCTGATCGCTCAACAAATATAAAGGAGAAAGTGGGATGCATCGGGCATGCACTGAGGAGGTCGCCCAATGACATCGCACGCCAGGCCAGTGCTCGAGTGGAATCCAAATTGGAAGCGACGAGTGGGTTGTCCTAGGGTGACATGGAGGAGATCGTGTGAAGGAGAGATGAGGGAGTGTGGTCAATCGTGGACACAGATGCAGAGGACGGCAGAAAACAGAACAAAGTGGACATGTGTTGTTGAAATACTGTCCCACTCGGAACCCAAGGGAATAATAATAAAAACTACCAATGGAGTGCGACCGCACCTTGAAACGCCGGCTGAGCAAGTTAGGGGAACCTGGTAAATTATGTGGTCAGTACCAATAATACATGCTCATCGAAATCTTATTTTATTAAATGGGATATCTGGCAAGTTTCAGCTTAGATTTGGGCAAGATCAAGTTAAACTCCTAGCCACGGACAAGTTAGGGTTAGGTTAACCTCATGAAGGAATCATTAGGGATGGTTCGAGTGAGATTACAGTTAGGATTAGGTTTAGGAAAGATTAGGATCATTGTTGGAGTTAGAAGACCTAAATAACTACATGAGTAGAATGTGGTTAAATTACGCTGTTGATATATGAATGGGACTTGTGCACTCTGGCAGAGTATAATTCCATTGCAGGTAGAATTTATTTTGATAAAGTCCCACAGTGTTATACAGGAATCTTTACTGATGACGTTTCGCGCACAATTTATTCCTAAGAAAATATTACTGTATATCAAAATAAATTTTACCCACAGTGCAATTATAATCTGTTGATACTCCAACATAAATCTCAGAGGAAGGTAACCTCTACAACATGTTTCTACAGTTTTTATGCATTATTTCATAAATATGTATGTATTCCATACAAAAGAAATGCCGTCTTTCACGAGATTGTTGTGTTGTTGCTGATTGGTAGTTTGTGGCGCTTCAAATTTAACTTTGCCAGAAAACCCATAAGTTGCATTAACTTAGTCACTGTTCACCTTTATGTGAAGAAAATGTAAGCCATGTATGGACTAGGAAATACAAGCATACATGTTAGTGTGCAAAGTAAAACAATGTGACTTACCATTGTGTACAGTAGGATAAATCGAGACCAATAAGTTGTTTACAAGTTCGAATAGCAGTATTCACTAGAGTCTTTGGGTTTGTTCCTGGATCTGATCCGTCCAGTTCAGGATCCCAAAAGCCACCAACGGCTTTGAGTCTCTCTTCACCTTTTCCCATTGCTACAATTTTGATGTATTTACGCAGTGAGCCACGTACACGACTACTGGATTCCGCTCGAACTACAATCTTTTCCATAAGCTCAGCCATGGCTGGCAGTGATAACAATAAAACATAAGCCGCGTAACCACTATCGTCGTGAGCTGGTTGAGGCGAATCCTCAATATGATCACACGGTTCCTTGATTATCTATTAAAAAAACAAAAAACCAACAGAGATTAGAATGTTGAAGGCCATACCATCACAATCCAAACGCTGAAATGATATTACATCTACATATGACGAGGGCAACTGGGAAACAAAAGCAATCACATAGGTAGAATGCTCCGAGGAGCAATTAGCAATGAGAAACTCAAAAACGAAATGTTCCGTATAAAGAGTTAGAAACGATGTAGCACAGTAAACAATTCCTCAGTACAGAATGAAAACGACGAAAATGTCATCATTCGTGATTTCAACTCGGATGACCCATTGACCTCACAACAGTTGGGAAGTAGACTTCTTATGTCTTTGTTATACATCCAATTTGCCCCTGTAGCCTTGCGTTCAAAATGCAATTTAGGTTGATATTCATATTTCGGGACTGTTCTGCCGGAAGTACTTAACAAAATGGGTTATTAGAGTAAATCAGAAACGTGCTAGAATCTTACATACCAGCCATACTAACTGGAATTCTCCACTAACTAAGCTTGTACAGATCTCACACTTAACAACGCTACTTTTTTCTATGTACTAAGTGAAGAGAGCCTCATTACTACTAGTCTGCAACTCTTAAACAGTAGCAAAACACAACAGGGAAAGTTGCAGCTCACAAAACTAGAGGGATCTCGTGGTATGCATATTCCGTTAGTAACTCCATTGTTTGTTATTGGCAGCCTGGAAACTAAATCTAAGTCGAACTTGACCAATATATTACTAATTTTTTATTATCTGTCTAGCTAGGAGCACAGCATCAAGTAGTCACTGAACTAACACGCCCCACCAATCCAACCAACCGACCGAGAAGTCTTCCTATCAAGACTTATCACTTCTGATAAAACAGTGAACAGCATTTTCACCCTAATTTACTCGAATCACTCTTTCCAATAGACGGTAAGAGACAGTCTGTTCTCAAGAACTGAACTTTAGTCTAGATCCATGGACCTCTCATTTGCAGATTGCTGGTACAGTAAACTGCACTCTTAAGGAATTCTATGCTAAGACTTAACACACCACTCTACTCTATCATACTTTACGCTTGTGATACACAACTGTAGGAAGCGAAACATCAGATAGCTTTTCCGGTATGTCGCTAGCGGGGAGCTAACACAGTAAATAAGACTGAGGTACAGTGATAAGCAAAAATAGACAAGTAAATTATTCACTTCCGAATTCCTGAGGCATTTCGCTAATCTTTACTTAGTAATTCTCTTTCCTACCACACATGTACCCATCCATTGGAGTATTAATGTGTATTTGTCCATCTCTGTCTGTGTTCTTCGAATGTAACAAAAACTGAACAGCATTCCACGCTTATCAGTGTATGTGACTGCAAGGATAAAATTCAACGCATATTTTCTATTGAAGTGAGCTCAATTCCTCCTAACTACATGTCAAATAAAACAAACAAATTATCGGCAAATAGAACTGTCACAAAACAAACGTAATTTACCACTAGACAGATGCTGAAAATAGGTGTTGCATTGGATGCAAAACTGAACTGTGAAAGTATCTGAAACATTATAGCATATTCTGAGCCTGATAATATCGAGCACACAATCATTCGTTTCCGACCCCCCTCCCTGTATCTCTCTACCTGGTACTATACTGAGGGCATGTATATCTCTGTCGCGCAACATACCATCAAGGACACCACAGATTTATACCATGTCTTGTACAAGCTACTGTTACTTCTTCGATCAATAAGACTGGATTCGCCTATTCAAAATCGACTAAGGGATCTCCAGCGATCATCCGATCGCCAAACTCACGTTCAGGTTTCAAATTTGCTATTAAGCTTTTCGGGGAGGCGTCAACTAATGAATAATCAGCTAAACTTTTCGTAACTTTCATGGTTAGTGCCTCCTACGTCCAGTCATGTACACCTGCACCAGCTTTCCCAAAAGATCACTTGTTAGGTGAACTTATTACAATCGTGACCATACTTAAACTGAAGCTTAATAACTCTTAGAATAGCAAGTAAACACGGCGACCTGGTGAAGGATAATGAATACTTTTAAGACGTGAATGTTGTCATTCAGCTTCGTCACAACACAGACCGACTAGAACTCATGAATACCTAATTTGGGAGAGCACAGTTCGGGCTGCATAAAAAATGAGATGCGAAAAAATATCACCTGGTACGTTGTTGAGTATTCCGGCTGAAACGGTTTAAGCAACGGGAATGAGTCTTGCCAGCTGCACCTAACACGATAGAGATCAACAGGAGGAAGACAGGTCGGAAAGCGTCTTTTGAGGTCCGCGAAAAGAAACTCTTTCACGTTCAGCATACGTTTTGAGCCAATTGCAGTTCTGGAATGAACGTCAGATACAGGGGAGGAGTGATGAGTAGGGTCTGCAGGTGATTTACGTCTTTCCCGCACTGGTGATTTCAAGGACCGACCTCCCTCCCTAGCGGAAATTTAGACAATGATGATACTTTACCTTTCAGTAATATGTGAGCGCTTTTCTACTCGCCGTTGATCGTTGAGACCCGGACGTACATCTCTTTCATGAGAAGTGGATTTGCTATAATTCTCCCTTGGAGAATGCTTACGGGGTGATTGACTTTTCCAAATACTACCCTCCTCCTTTTCTCTGGACCTTCCAGTGTGTTCTACACGCCAAACTTTCTCTGCACTCCACTTAATCGGCATATGGGGTTGATAAATCGCGCTCGCTGCTACGTTGTCACCCACCTCCACCATTGGGCCAATGACACACCTATGGAACATCAATCAACCCAAATCTGGTCACTTACTTTCTTTGAAAGAATATTTCGTTATTTATATATCCAAACGTAGGATACATTTTCGTAACAAACCCAACGAGTTGGTGAGACGCTAGATCCGCAGCCATAGTTCTTTCAGAAGCAGAGTTTTGTAAATCGAAACTTGCCGCTCTCTTGTTATAAACAAATCGATAATGTCATGTCGAAAAAAACTTATGCCATGGAAGTCCAAAAAGATAATTTCGAATTTTTTTCTTATTGCATATCTGAAGATAAGTGATAAGTTTTCTCAGTTTTTGTCAGCGCGTGTTTTGGTCATTTGGGCTACGTATTTGCTAATGCGTAGTAGACATAGGAGGGATGGTAGTGTCAGCTTAAGTGGAAAAAATACTGCCTATAGTTTGATACAGTTCGAAAACCTGAGGGATGAAGTTGAGGAACAACTGTATACTGTCGCCTTAAAAGATATTCAGACAAGTAATTATGAGCAGCTTCATCTAAACATGCATAGTTACCCTAACTCAAATAGTGATCGAAATGTTGGAAATACAATGAAAGACAGCAACTCCCCTTTCGACGGAAAGTCCAATTGCGGGAAAATCACGGGCCTCCTCAAGTTTCCACCAAAATCCCGGGATGAAGTAAACGGGATGTCGATGATTAAAACGACCTGCAAGCGACCTATTGAGCTACATCATCTGGGTGCAAATACTCATGCTAAAAAAAAGTGTCAAGCTCAGAAACTGTATGCGGAACCCTCTCATAGTCGATATGATACCCCATATTCCAAATTAACGGGTTCAAATATAAGTTCACTTAGCAGGCCAGCAGCGTCAAAAGTGGAAAACTCATTTTTGATTTCAGCATCCGAAATAGCTTCCGAATCAGAGTTCATTGCAGACTCCCTTAGGACATCGGCGAATAACCCTTTTGCGGACTATAAATCAAATGTTGCGTCTGTGCCATATTCATCATCCATCATGCAATTGAATCAAGAAGGAATATGGGAATTATCCAAAAAATCACAAAAGGAATGCCTCGTACCTTTGTTTTCTCCACATGATCTCAGCAAATATCAAGCTCCCTCATCGGCTGTGTCTCCGAATTCTTCATTCGCCAACTCAGGTAACGATAGTGATTATGTCATCATATCTATTCATTTCTGTCGTTAGTTTGAAAAGTGCCCAATCATCAGTAATATATATCTAAATCACTACCACTAAATAATTTGTGCAACTATAATCTTTTTGAAATAAATATATATTAAAATTTTCCGTAGTGACTGAGATTTACTTAATCAAGAAATACTTGTAATTTTGTCAGTACACTATATTATGAAGAGGTACCAGGGAAATTTTCTTGCACTCTTATGTACGCCTAATCTGATATCCGTGGTCGTGTCATTTTAAATCCGATACTGCATTCTGATGACATCCCAGTACACCATCTTAGATGTCATTATTAGTAGGTTGCAGTACAACTTTCTAAATCTAAATATGGTGTTGTAACTAAATGGATTTTGTGAGAAACAATATAAAAGTTCCCAAATCTTAAGTTACTCAGCTTTTATTCAGTACGTTGAAACACTTAGATTTCTGTTCTTATCGTGGAAAATACATACTAGGACATAAGAGAGAAAAGAACAAGTTCAGAGAAGATATCTTTTCGGTGATTTAACCCGCAATAGCTGCACAGTCGTATTTATGTACATAAGTCTACATAGATCAAATTATTATCTAATTCCACATAACAAAGAAGAATATAATCTTAAGCAAAGATATTTACAAGTATAATTATTCCACCTTGACTTATTAACATTTTTCGAAGTCATCGGCTATATATATATATCTTTAATTGATGGCAGTCATAACTCTTGTCTATTTTACCTCCTCAATTCCCAGGTATTATAATGTTTTATGGAATGTATAATTTTTAAAATATTTTCATAGGTTTTCTCACTTTATCCCTATTTAGTCTCTAAGCAGAATTCACTTTTGACTGGTCCTATGGATGATTTGCAGGAAACTAATAAAGGGGCTCTCCTTATTCAAGATGGTGCTGGTACTTCTGCGATTTATGTCCCTGGAGTGGACTTACTGTTTGATGACTCTGAGTTTGCACCAATTGATATGATTTCCAGATTCAGTCGAACGCCGATGTCCTCACCCAAAATAGTTGAACCTGGTTGTATTTCTCCGTATGCTGCTGCACGACCATTTTCTCCATCTCAACTTTTCAACCAGTTAGATTCAAGTATTGCACAAAGGTGACATAATTTTTAGTCAATTAGAAATGACGAGATATCTTTATTAACAAACATATAGGTTTCTATCAACGGTTACGTATTTATTTTTTATACATCTCTACTTATTTGACGGCGACTTTACATTATATGTCAAGGTTTTAAATTTTGCGGCTTCATAAGCCCTGCTGTGTGTAGTTCACACACCATAGAAACATTCTCAACGGTGTTACGTATTTTCCTTGATTTATATGATAGAGGCAGAAGTAGAAAAGTTCACAATTTACGAAAGTTTTCAGCTTCTTGAGACAATGGCAGTGCAGCTGTAGATCATTAGAACAAAATGCCACTAACATAAACAAAAGACTATATAATTATGATCTCTCCGGAGGGAGGAAAAAACGCCAGGAATAGTCTATGAAGAATTAGCAAAGTTAATGAATCGACGTAACATGCAAGTATGGCCACTTGGCAATAAAATGCACTGGGCGAAAGCTATCCTTATTACCTGGCTGTCTTAAAACTCAGGAGGGAAAGGGAATTCATCTTCCTTTCGATATCAACACGAATATTCCACATGTGGGTAATAAAATTGTTTCCAAGTGTTAGTTTCCAGAGATTCGCTTGCTTTGAAGTTTGATCACGGATTGATGTCAGTTAGTAAACTGTTGGAAATCAGGAAGTACCAAACAGTTGTACGTCCCAATTTGGGACTTTTCATCAGCATGCAACCATAAATCCACCAGGAGATCAAACCTATGACCTTCAGATTTCGACTATTTAGCTACTGTCCCATGAATGCTAACTTCTGTCACTGAATGATATAGATACAACCTGCTATAACATAAATTGAACTATTCACATTTCAGTTACAGAATTTTCAAGCTCCGTTTTTTGAATGAAAATTTTTCTAGATATCTAATTATTTCGATTATGCACTTACTACTTTTCTTGCTTTGGAAAGACACCCGTCTCCACCTGCTACATCATCTCTCAGTGCTGTCTCTGCCGGATTAGAATTGAGTAAAGCTGCCAAGGTAGGTGACTGTTATAAGGCTTTAATTTGGAAATTTGTGTGTTTTTTCAAATACAGAGGAATATCTAATTGTAATGTATTTAGAATAAATTTTTTCTATATCGAATGTAATTATATAAGTGGAAAACTATGTTTCCTTATCATCGACTTCTCGTACAAGTGCAGTCCGGAAATAAATCATCCGGAAAATACCTCATGAAACCCTTCTGTCCTAGACTACACCTTACAGATATCGATTTGTTTTATGCTCCTTGTAGATATATAAAAAATGTGACTTTTAATCTGAGTACACTCAAACGGTCTTTTTAAATTTTACCATTTTCTGCCTCGATTGTCTTTCTAGATTTTACAAATATTTGCAGATTTTTTCTATACCTTCTGCTACAGATAGTGCCGCACTAAAGCAATTTCATTCTTATGGGATACTTACGTAGAAAATAAGTGACCTCTAGGTCACTAAATAACAAGAGAATAGAGTCAAATCCACAAAGAAAACATTGCAGGATATTGTAAGCTACTCAGATTACATACATGTAGTAAGAAAAATATAATACAGTTTCAGTAAAGGAAATTCTTTTAAACGAAGTCCTCAATTAGGTTGTGGATACATGAATGTTGTTTAAAGTAGATATTAAATATAAGTAGCAGCTTGTTAGCTGTAATTGGTGGGACCTAGCAACGACGCTGTATTGAAAAATAAATAAGGCAACCCGGTACACAGGCTAAACGAATTGACGTGTGAAGTCTTACTCTAATCACTCGGAGTTCTCTTTTCTACAGTGAGGCGTGTCGCATGTAAAACGAGTGCTGAAACAAGTGAGCTACACCTGAAGTTACTGAAGATTTTTTCAATAGTCTTTCTGCATAACTACTGCTTACTAAATATCACGAATTTAAAAATTGCCAAACGCATCTACACTTGAAAATATTCTCCATTGCTTAATGTTGAAACATTTTCGCTTCATCGCCCACATCGTCGATTTCATTTTGAAATGCTTACAACCGTATAACTCTAGAATGATGGTCTTAAGTATTTGCTTTCGTTTGCAGGAACGCTGTGTACAGCTAAGGCAACATAGACGTGCTCAGTCTGTCGAAAGACAACCACTACCCGCATTACATCTCCACCTATCTAAAGATGGTACAAGCCCGTTACCGCCCGGGTGGCAAAGAGCTCCAAATATGAAACGCTCTACAGAAGGTGAAGATACAGCCGATAGTTCTGCTACATATGCATATTACTACTACCATGTCCGTACTAGACAAACTCGATGGGACCCTCCTGTATACCCATGGGATGCAGATCCAACTGACACACTTTTGGGAGAAACTGGTGAAGATGATCCGGAAGCTCCATACAACTGGGGGTGTGCGTCAAGGTTTGCTGTGACACATGAAGAAATTGAAGCTGTAAGTTATGGTGTTGTGCTTTTACAGGTGTATGAATAAATTTCATGTTCATAATTCTTTTGGTACTTAGTGGATATCTGAAGCACTGCCAGGCTGTGATATCGTATAGATTGCACATACTATATGCCTAATAATGTGGAATGCTGTCATGTTTGATAAAATGAAATCTACATATGTAAAGTAGTCATATTAAACCCCCTTTTTACCGAACCATCATAGCAAAATCTACATTTTGACACTAGGACTATGTATTAAAGGAAGAAAGGCAGTTTGCATTACTTCACTATATTGAATGTTATAAGTGAAAAACTATGTTTCCTTATCATCGACTTCTCGTACAAGTGCATTCCGGAAATGAGTCATCCGGAAAATGCCTCATGAAACCCTTCTGTCCTAGACTACACCTTACAGATATCGATTTGTTTTATGCTCCTTGTAGATATATACAAAATGTAATTTTTAATTTGAGTGCATCTTCGTGTATTAGTAGTAGTAGTAGTGGTAGTAGTAGTAGTAGTATCATACATAATTTCAATTCAGTCACCACACTCTTTGACTAGATTTTCTAACTTTATAAGCAGTTGCATAGTTTAGAAAGAAGTAAATAAAACTGGATCTGAAACTTATCCTTAATAATGTATTTAATCAGTTCATATTTCCAGTATTGTGATTAGAAGGTAATACTATTTATCTGTGTGATGGCTGTTACTGCTCAGTTAATTCGAACGAGAAGAATAAATTAAGTTAATTAGATCATCCCTTAATGCACTATCACCAATAGTTGATAGGTATTTGAAGTACAATTTTATATTTGCATTTCCCAATTATTTTTCGTGTATGCAGATGTACAGTCGTGTTCGTCAACGAATACTCGAACGTCAGTGCATTGACCTTCTACATGAATTGGCGGGTAGGCCAGATGCTCCTCAAGGTGTTTCTGAGCAAGGATTCGCAATCGAGGTCAGTTTTTATTTTTTTTTAATGACTTTGTGTACATTATATTATATTCAATTTTATCACGGATTGTTGATATCATTTAGAAAACCATTCAAATACCAACTAGTACTTGTACAGCTATTTCTTCCTATTCGACTGAGTTCCAACTTAGCACAGAAGTGCAACAGTACAAGTTCTCACACTCCATGTAAACAAAAGAAAGCAAAAAGACTCAAAAGAACTTATAATGATAAGCTGAAATATGGGGAAGAGAGGATATTAACGTGGAGAAACACGACGGTTTAGTGGACATGTTTAGAGGGTGAATAATTCTGCGCCGTTGCAAACAATTCTGAACTACGTCACCAGCCAGCAGTACTTAGAATCTTGGGGACCCCAACGGGGCGGTCTAAACCTCCCTATGTAACTGTTTGAAATCAACTATCAAAGACTTCAGGTTTTGGTTTGATCACACCTTAACTCTTCAAACCTAACCCTATGTCAGCTAACACTGCTCGACCAGGTTGGCAGTGGCTTGGCATGCGCAACATGTGTCTTAGCCATCTCAGCTGATGTATCTGCACAATCCCATTGACTGACTTTCACTCCTTATTTAATACCATATGCTTAACATCAATATGGCTCACCACATTGTATCACTTAATACGGGAGACAGGACGCAAGCATCTGCGATCGAAGACAGCTAACCTCTACACATCTCCACTTTCAATAGCCATGTCTCAGAGCCACGAGGGAGGACGGAACAAACTGTTTCACAGCTCGTTAGCCGGATATCATGTCTACACCAGAGATGACATAAGTTGGTATCTGTACTGAAATTTCGCCAACAATCGGTCCATTGGGGTTGATGTAAATTCGTAAATAAGTGAAGCAGTCAACACACTACCACTCTGTCTCTAAGCTGGGATTTGGTGTACTACAGTCAGGCAGCATCATTTTACATTCCACAGGAATCAGTCGCATGCCAGACATTCGAAAAGTGTTCAGAAGACTCTGCATTTTATCAACGTTTTCAACCAGTAGGGGAAAAATCATCCGCATATCCTAAGTTAACAAAGACTATTCTTTGTTAACAAGTCAATCTGTCGAAAAGTGAAGAGATAATCAGTACTCCCTCCCTATCTGATCTAAAGCCCGCGTGGTATTTCGTGTTTATTTTTAACGAGCACCACTTTACATGCGCACGATTACTGAGCCTAGAACACTAGATAGCATTGTCAGTCAAGTCTAAAATAATAAAACCAGTTGGTAGACTAGATATCGATTCAAATGTCAGCTGGCGTTTACGGTCCCATAGAATTTCGCGAAAACCTGCCTCGTGAAGTTCGTATCAATAAATAGGATTTGTGTAACAATCCTCAAATTATTTTTGTATGACAATGCATCGACAAATTTAGGGAAATTAAAGTGTTTACTGTAAAGTAACACATGTTAGCTTTACTACGAACAAAATGACAAAAGATTTTTCAGCTTAACCACTTATTTCACCTAAAATGTTTATATATTTATGTTCTGATTTCCAGCTGTTTACTCTTGTACACAATACACTGCGCAATTTTCGTGATGCTCGATGTAAGCTTGGTCGTATCGTAAATGATGAAGACTTATACTATTTGACGAAGAAGGTAATCCTTTGTTCACTTATTCTCATTTGGATAAACCTAGTTACTTGGTGTTACAATGTGTTCAGAGGTCCGTATATCTTAGTGTAAGCGAAGTTCACTTTGTAGACCCCAAACTATTTGCCTATAGACAGGGTAGGAGCACTTTAGACGCTGTAGCCGTCTTACACAACAGTATCGTCTCATCATTAGATAAAGGTGCCAAATTCGTCCGCTGCACGTTTCTCGACTTCACTTCTGCTGTCGACTCTGTACCTAGATGTCTCTTGCTAAATAAGCTATGACAAAAACTGAGTCCGGGGTCACAAACTGGTTGCTTTCCTATTTCTAAAACAGAATGCAGTACACCGTATAAAGGTAAATCCTCCTCTGCTGCGCTCACTGAAGCTGGTGTCCCCCAAGGTGCTATACTCTCCCCACTTCTCTTTTCTTTCTTTCTACATGACTTACCATCTTCAAATGACATTAATTTTGTCAAATATGCTGACGACCTGACAGCATCTTTGCCTGTCAAATGTTGAAGTGACTGCTCTAAACTTAATGGCTTTCTGTCTGAAATCAACCAGTGGTCCAAGGAAAACGGTCTTACCTTAAACCCCTCCAAATGCCAAACAGTCAATTTCACCTTTAGGCATAAGTCCGACCTATACAAACTGGTTGGCTCTCACGAGGTGTGCAACATAGATGGCACTGAAATAGAAACCAAGTCGGAAATACCTAGGCGTCATTCTATCTGCTGATCTTTCCTGATCGTCTCATATCTTAGCAATTTCTAAGAAAATATTCCGTCTTACCTTCTACATCAAGAAGTTAAAACATTCTGGTATTACCCAACCCTTACTCCTACAATTCGTTAATTCTCGCATCCTGCCTATTATTCTCTATTGTTCCCCCTTAGTTTTTCCTGGGCTACTGAAGAAAGACTATAACATTTTACGCAGGATGTTAAATGTTGTTAGCAGGGTAAGCAACGTGCCACTTAACCAGCTTGCTAATACTCTGGTTGACAGGCACATGGACTCATGTGAAAAATGGGCCAAATCCATTTTATCCAACTCACACCACCCTCTCCACTCACAACTCCCCCCCCTGCATCTCATCAGGTAAAACCAGTAGCCAATATAGAAAAATTTATGCTCGCACCAGCAAGTACAAAAACTCAACCATACCCTACTTAGCTCGTGTTCTGTGCGATAAAGAGAGCATTAGGCGTGACACCTATAATTCAATAAATAGTCAGTAGAACAACTGGACCTCGTCTTTCCAACTCATATCATTTATAGGTACAACATTTTCTTTCTTTCTTTTCCTTTTCTCTCTCTCTTTTTCTTTTTTTCCGTTATGTGCTGCTTTGTTTCTTTCTTCCACTTACGCCAGTAAATATGATAGCGCCTACTTTTCTAACACCTTCAAACACTGTTCAACTTTGGCTTTGCTACCAACATGCCAATATGTTGCTGTCATAATGAACTGAGATTTCCTTAGTCTATGTAGAATTTTATTTATTGATAATGTACTAACTGAATGCAGTACTGTAGTAAAATTGCTGAGAATTCCATTCTGTATCACAAGTACTGTTTAGGAATAAAGCAAATTATTATTATTAAAATAAACACCAAGCTTAAATGACCTAAATGGTTAGCTTTTAATCCATAATAATTTAAACTGATTGAATTTTTACCTACTTTACTCATGCTTTCTTTTAGTTGGCTCAAGCTGTGATTTTGAAGGAGATTCAAAAGTTCCATGAAACTCAGTCGGCAAATACCTTATTTTCAACTGTTTTAACTCCTGAAATCCCTCCAGCTGTTTGCTGTAGAGTTACAGATTATGTTAGAAGGTACATGGAGTCCAAAGGACCACTCTATCATCGACGAATGCAACAAACTACACCATTAGCAAGTACTCGTCCAGAAGAAGCTAATTCAAGACCTGATCCATATGCTCAACAGTATACTAGCAGCAACATGCAGTCTCGACCATTACCTCATTCAATTGTGAATCGTTTACACACAAATCATGTAGACAGTGTTTCCTCACAGTGTGCTCGACCATATTAAGTACTACTGCTGTCGGCCCATCACGCCGGTAATTAAACGTCCAATATCCAAAAAGTGTACACTTTTAAAACGTGCCTGCATTGTTGTTTTTATACGTCCGCTTATTATCTTTGTCAGTTAATGCGCACACAGTTTTTATCCCTATGATGCAGATACTGGAACCTATGTGAAAAATTAACTATTTCAAAGCGTCTGTATTCGTAAATTATCTTGGTAAATAATTTATTATGACTTTAAATATTCGTATTTCCTTATTTTGCATCTTTTGTACATATAGATTTATATTTGTTCTTTCATCCTTCAATTAATTTCACTTATTTTGTCTTCTTGATTTTGACGACCGTTGTGGAGATTTTTATGTTTTTAATGTGCCTGTTTTAACTTTGATTTTTGCATGTACTTATACAAAAATGTATGCAATGCTTGTAACTATGAACCTTAAGAAAACCCTTAGTTACTTGAAAATTCGTACTTTATCTGAAGATTTTATTTCACAAATGTTACGAAGCCATAGCAAAAGACATTATTGGAAACAAGGTACATCTTTAAATAGAATTACGAGACGATGCACATGGAAATCCACATATCCACATAAAAGCTATCTTAAGTTATAAGTTATATGATTTCCATATCCATTCGTGTGAGACCAGCATAAATTTCACTTGGTAGCCTATATGGAATGCGGCCAACAAACGCTATCAAAGCTTTTGCTCTGGCTCGGATTTCAGGAGTAGCCATCTTAGAATCCCAATCAGCACTCGCAGCATTACTAGGAGTATACAAATAAAAGAGAAAGCCAATGATTATATATATCAAATAAATATAAAAGAACATAACTACAAAGCAATTAATTGACCAACCTCTTTCTGGATGCTCGGCGAGTTTTAGCTGAAAAACAGCGCATCAGGGCGTCTAATACCCAAGGTATTGGCCGACGCACTAGATCTGGAAGTTGAGAAAATCGTGTCACACAAGACTCTACGTGCGACGGTTGTGAGCTAGACGGGAATAAACTCAATTGATCTATATGGTCAATTGCAGCCTGCCATCTTTCTGCCTCGACTAGGTCGAAGAAAGTAGCAAGGTCAAGCAGATAGAATAATGTTGTCCATGTATTCGTTTCAGCATCAGACTGAAATTGATTATTGTTGTTTGATAAACCCAAGCGGCGAACTTTATTAGCAAGCTATTCAGCAAGAAAATAAAAAGCATAAATAAGTTTCCTTTAACTTTGACGGAAAGTACAGTAAAATTTTGATGATACTAGAGTAATTTAAATAATATAGGTTCGCAATAAATAAACGATGAGATTCGTACCTCAGTTGCCAGTCGTAAAACCAAGCTTCGATCTATTTCGCCCCTCAGTCGACACTGCGCTATAAGTGTCGTACCAAGGTTTGAGGTTACTACCACGCCCGATAGTAGAGTATTCAGTAGTGTCACAGCAACCAATACGTCAGGTTTTGGATCACCACACGCGGCCACCACCATAAATACATGGATTGCTTCGATGACCTGACCATTAGATTCAAAAACGCGAGCCACAGTACGCAAAAGTTCCCTCCGAAATTCTATCGACTTGCAGAAACGATCGATTGCACCAGGCTAAAACGGTAACAACACATAAGATGATTTGAAAACAAATTAGGTTTGTCGAATACCTAATAATCCAACTGAGGGAAAAATGAAGTTGACTAAAAAAATAACAACAAAACATTACAATTCAAACGCTGAAATGATATTACATCTACATATGACGAGGGCAACCGGGAAACAAAAGCAATCACATAGGTAGAATGCTCCGAGGAGCAATTAGCAATGAGAAACTCAAAAACGAAATGTTCCGTATAAAGAGTTAGAAACGATGTAGCACAGTAAACAATTCCTCAGTACAGAATGAAAACGACGAAAATGTCATCATTCGTGATTTCAACTCGGATGACCCATTGACCTCACAACAGTTGGGAAGTAGACTTCTTATGTCTTTGTTATACATCCAATTTGCCCCTGTAGCCTTGCGTTCAAAATGCAATTTAGGTTGATATTCATATTTTGGGACTGTTCTGCCGGAAGTATTTAACAAAATGGGTTATTAGGGTAAATCAGAAACGTGCTAGAATCTTACGTACCAGCCATACTAACTGGAATTCTCCACTAACTAAGCTTGTACAGATCTCACACTTAACAACGCTACTTTTTTCTATGTACTAAGTGAAGAGAGCCTCATTACTACTAGTCTGCAACTCTTAAGCAGTAGCAAAACACAACAGGGAAAGTTGCAGCTCACGAAACTAGAGCGATCTCGTGGTATGCATATTCCGTTAGTAACTCCATAGTTTGTTATTGGCAGCCTTGACCAATATATTACTAATTTTTTATTATCTGTCTAGCTAGGAGCACAGCATCAAGTAGTCACTGAACTAACACGCCCCACCAATCCAACCAACCGACCGAGAAGTCTTCCTATCAAGACTTATCACTTCTGATAAAACGGTGAACAGCATTTTCATCCTAATTTACTCGAATCACTCTTTCCAATAGACGGTAAGAGACAGTCTGTTCTCAAGAACTGAACTTTAGTCTAGATCCATGGACCTCTCATTTGCAGATTGCTGGTACAGTAAACTGCACTCTTAAGGAATTCTATGCTAAGACTTAACACACCACTCTACTCTATCATACTTTGCGCTTGTGATACACAACTGTAGGAAGCGAAACATCAGATAGCTTTTCCGGTATGTCGCTAGCGGGGAGCTAACACAGTAAATAAGACTGAGGTACAGTGATAAGCAAAAATAGACAAGTAAATTATTCACTTCCGAATTCCTGAGGCATTTCGCTAATCTTTACTTAGTAATTCTCTTTCCTACCACACATGTACCCATCCATTGGAGTATTAATGTGTATTTGTCCATCTCTGTCTGTGTTCTTCGAATGTAACAAAAACTGAACAGCATTCCACGCTTATCAGTGTATGTGACTGCAAGGATAAAATTCAACGCATATTTTCTATTGAAGTGAGCTCAATTCCTCCTAACTACATGTCAAATAAAACAAACAAATTATCGGCAAATAGAACTGTCACAAAACAAACGTAATTTACCACTAGACAGATGCTGAAAATAGGTGTTGCATTGGATGCAAAACTGAACTGTGAAAGTATCTGAAACATTATAGCATATTCTGAGCCTGATAATATCGAGCACACAATCATTCGTTTCCGACCCCCCTCTCTCTATCTCTCTACCTGGTACTATACTGAGGGCATGTATATCTCTGTCGCGCAACATACCATCAAGGACACCACAGATTTATACCATGTCTTGTACAAGCTACTGTTACTTCTTCGATCAATAAGACTGGATTCGCCTATTCAAAATCGACTAAGGGATCTCCAGCGATCATCCGATCGCCAAACTCACGGCTAGGTCTCAAGTGTTCTTTACTTCATCATGTGTGTTGAGCTTCAGCTGCTGTTTAATGTTACGTGATTATTGAACCCAAAATACGTTTACATACTTTTTGGCGTATAATAATGATGATGATAATAATAATAATAACACGCATACCAGTAGTTGCATAAGTTATGGTAGAATCAATAAGGACCTCAGTAAGAAATAAAAATGAGTCTAAGTGACTCTAAACTCACTTTACGAGTATTATTTTCGCCCACAGAGCCTAAAATTAAATCTAGCTGTAATTGGAAAATGAATTTTGAGGTGAAAAACAAAGCAAATTATCAGTTATTTATTACATATTATCAAATACATAAAAAGATATTTAAGATAGTCTGCCTGCGTAAATTATTTGCTCTTAATCTGCAAAATAATAAATCAAATTATTGGTGATGCCCACTAAGATGCTTATTTTTGTTTTTAAAAGGGAATACTGGTTTCAATTACAGTTAGAATACATGCTTAAATACAAAATGGTGGCATTGTGCTACGGCTATAAAGGTTTACTAGGATTTAGAGTGATGACTTCAGTATTTGTATTAGACTCAAACTACCAAGAAACCTGCCGGTCTTGGTTTCATTTTCGGAAGGTTTCAGAAATACGGAGTACTGAGGAGCTAAGAAACAAGAAAAACCTTACACTGCTGCAGATTTGCTATCGCTACCGAAATCCAACACTTTTCAATGTAATTTTATTTGTTTCTCCTACGGCTTCGTTCTCATAGAAATTCGCATCTTTAGAGACACTGCAAAATTAAGTGGTATTTGTTATGAACATCAGATAATACATCACGTATGTTCATTTTAGATGATAAAGTATTCGAAATGAAACAACCTCTATTTTGGACTACGATCTGCACATAAAGTACTAAGCAGAAATTGCATATGACATCCTTAGCGACAGCCGTGATTTAAAGCAAATAAACCTTATATGATGGATCAAGATATGAAATCTCAGCAGAGGATTAGTTCAAGCTGAATGATGTAAAAAAAAAAACATCGAGATTAGGCCATAGTATCCTTCATCATAACAAGTTACAATTTAAATAAAATTAATTTGCAATAGGCAAGTTTATTTGGAAGCTTAAATAACCGTTGCAGTAAAATAGCCACCCCATTGCAGTAAACAAACAAAGTGGTGTTGAATACCTCAGACAGTGGTATTTTGAAAGAAAATATGAAACCATTTAGCTAGTTTCGGATATACACCATTAGATTTTACCACACATAAAGTGCCAAGAACTACATTCTAACTCACTAGATTTACCCCCCCCCCCAGCCAACAGATTTGCCTAACAAAGAAAAAACTACAAACACGTGTATGTGTAACTCATTCTTTACACGCATGTAACCGCTCTGAAAGCTGATACACCTATTAATTTACTAAGAAATTTGTTGAAACATGTGGAGAGAATACTAGAAATAATTCGTTATAACAATCTTTTAAAAAAACTACTGAACTATAAATATTCTCCTGCATTGACACTGCTTAATAATAGCTTATATTGGGTTGACCGAGAAGTTAGACTATATTTCATTAGGTTACTTGGTTGAATGTGAGGAATAGTGTTATACAGGGAGCATACTTCGTCTTAACTGGGACTCGTTATCTGGATGCACCCGCATTAGCCAGAGACTCAGCCCTATAATCTATAGCTTCAAAATTGTTATCTATTGGGTTACCTAGCCACTCACTAAATAGTTACATTGCATTCAATAATAGCAATTATATCTTACTTCTTTAGTAGCCAAAGCCAATTCACACACACATCGAACAAACAAATTTTGACTTCTGAGGGTGACACGGTCAAAAGACATGTTATGTAAACCACTGATAATAGATGTATTGGATTCTTCTTCGAGTGACTTCTCAGCAGTATTTGGGATGTCGGTAAGCATATAATAGTACATGAGTGCTTTCTCTGGTTCCGTGACTTCAAATTTTCTCGTATACAACATAATTAAACGAACCAAATTTAGTCGCCGTAATCCTTTAGGGTCACAATCATCGCAACTCACTGAGCATAAAAAAATAAGAGTTAATTAACATTCATCAAACTGATTAAGGAATACTTTCTAAATAGCTTTCAACCTCTGCATAAATAAATAGAATTTGAGCTTGTTATATCACACTAACTGTTCTTCAGCATAGTAACTGTCATGAAATTTAATCTCCAATTATATTAAATGAATCAGTTACCAATCATAAGTAATCGTTCATAGCCTTATTGGGAAGATTCTGCAAATAAATTTGGAATTCCTGAAAAGTGCATTTAGGCAGACAACCGTTTTCACAAAAGACCTATAAGTAATATATGCAACAGGTGTAAATGAAGGCACGAATGAAAGTTAGAGAATTTTAGAAGTGAATCAATATTAATGAGAAGGACCTAATAAAAGTGGTCATTTCCATGTTCATTCTCATAATCACAGTGTTATGCTTACAACTAAGGGATTCTTCCCCAAAGGCCATTCAGTTAACTACAGTGTAACCGTGTGTGTTCTACTAAATAAGTTTGTCTAATGTGCAATTATACCCTGATATAGTGAGCAAATCCTTCTCTTATACAAGTAGATTCACGGAAGTGGTGTTTGATGAACAGTATTAGAAGAACGGTTTTAAAAGTGTTTTCCATTGAAATGAAGGTCTGGCAAGTCCACCACCTTGCTAAAAGCTGTACTAAGTACTCACGTTAGTGTTAAAGTTTAGACTAAAATAATAAAGTTAAGAAATACCATTCAATGCTCCTAGATCCCTTACGCTTTTTATTCAACTTAATGCTAAAGGTACTTGGAAAAAACTTCTTAGTTTGTGACAGATACGCACAATGTAGTAATAATTTTATATCAAAATCCTGACAAAATGTGTTATCTTTCATATGTGAGATTTTTTCTCCTAAAACTATAACTGTTGCTTCACGACAGAATCGTATTGATGCCCCAATCGATACTCAAGGTATACCACTGATGACATGTACTCCTGCCGAACTTTAGGAAATGTTTAAAAAGAGTTCGTAAATCTCATAAGTTTCTTTCAAGCTAACAGATGTACAGATGGTTGCGCATAATGCTGAGACTGCTCCTATCTTCCAAACCGTCATATAATAACTCCAGAGGGTATGGCTTAGTCAATATGACTTGTTAACATCAAGGTTACGCGATCACCAACTTAAAAACAGCTGAAGTAAAATTATATTTCAGACTTAACCATGAGTGTATCGATTGGATGATCACTGGAGCTCTCTCAGTTGATTTTGATCAGCCACATCTAGTCCTATGGGCTATAGATGCTCCCAGAATTTCAGTCACAATTTGAAGAGATTTCCGGTGCACTTCTTAACTCCTATATACAAACTTTTATTTGCCTGTATAATACTGTTCTGATTATCACAAATGACGCATCACACTAGTTACTAGTGTCAAATCAAAATATCCACTACAGTCCTACAGGAGGTCAATCGCGAGCCCGAATAGCTCAGTGGTAACGTCTCTGACTGCAGCACTGGGTGACGCGGGTTCGAATCTCAGAAGGGACATGAGTTCCTTCAAGGTTGCAGATACGCCTTGCTGAAGAGTGCCAACTAGCACGAAACCTAGGTCCAAGGCTTCCTGCCGATTGCCTCCAACCATCTAATATTATCACAAATGAGTTCAATAATTATATGTAGGTACTCACCAACTTGGTGAGTTATTAACCGACGAAATCTCAATACATCTAAGCAAAAGTTAATCGTGTTTTATTTTAACTGGCACCACTAATGGGTTAATGATGTACGCTAAACACACATTAATCCATTAATATATATATATATATATATATATATATGGGTGGAAATCTGTGAGACTTACCAAGCGATGACTGAATGCTATTGGGAATTAACAGCATATGTAGGTCCTTCAGGGCCAAAGCAATATGAACTGCATGACACCGGAATTGCTCAAAACGACTAAGAAATCCAATAGCGGCCTCATATTGTTGTGTAAGAAATAAAATTTTGAAATAGACGAATGGCTGAGACCATGCGTCGAAATGCGCTTCACCTAAAATATTGAGTGCAATTTCTTCAAGTGGTACCAAGCAAAAAATAAATCTTCAAAAGCAAAAGAATTGTAATTTTCAGATGTTGACAATTTTCTTAATCACACACATTAGAACCTTCCTATGACAAAACGTGTAGGTGATAATACTGTAGTAAATCGCTAATACATACACATACTCTATACGTCAGCATAGTCAATTCGAGCATTTCGCACTCCTACAGCCAATTTGTTCAGAATACGATCATCTACGAGTAAAATAATATGGAGGAAAATGTTGATACCCTGGTAATCCACGGTCTTGTAGATCTACTAGTGAAATGAAACAAAAAGCGAGTAGCCGCTGTTTATTATAAATCTATGTCCTTAATTAGACATAATGGGGATTTGTAGCTAAGGTGGGTGATTTTGACGTAGTTGTGCAACATTTTGCCTAGTAGGCTAATGAAAGCTCCACAAAATAACCATCCAGCTAAAACAACACAACTACGTCATAAAAGTATGCCCTTTATTTGTGAATACCGAGTAAACTCAAAAGCAATTTTGTATAAAAAACTGTTCTGTGGTTTTTAGGATTTCATTATCAGTCGACACTGGTTACAGAACTATTGGGGAACCATCTGGGAATACTGAACAGCTGTTTGGTTCTAGTTTGGAACTCTTTAGCGGCACACACCCACCGGGGTTCGAACCCAGCCCCTTCCCGGTTTCAAGGCAAGCTCGTAGACCATTAAGCCTCTGTGAAAAACGTCTGAAGATTATAATTTAGACATAACCACACTGTGATTAGACTGAACCGAAACTGTACAGAATTACACTGATAAACTATTATAGTAAACAGCAACTCAGCCTCATACTTATTGGTAAGCATTTATTGGCCTTTTTCCATTCTCCTTGGATGTCTGTTATACAGTTTACACTTAAGTTATCTAGAGGAAATTGAGATACTCAGCAATTAACACTAAGACCAGGAAATATTCCCTATACACCGGTGATTATAGATAGATATCCCTACTACCAAATAACAGCAGAATAAAAGAAACATACCGTAAGTTTCATATAGTAAAGTTTGCAGCTGTCCCAAAGTCAGGGTATCATCAGCATTACTCCTTGATGTAACTGTTGATTCTTCTGGATCTTGTGCAATAACTTGAGATATCTTGATCCACAAAAAGTCATCAATGTTTGAAACAACATCTGAATGATTATCACTGAGATCACAATTTCCAAGAATGGAATATACTAATCTGCAATATAAAGGATAATAAGTTAGTTGAAAAGTAATATAGTAATTAGAAACGAATGCTTCTGCAAAATAGAAATGAACACTCCCTGAAACATGCCAGTAATTTCATCAAAACCTCTTCAAACTCAGTCCATAATTAAACTAATTTTGTACACAACTACTCGAAATAGCTTAGTCTTAAGAATTGTGAAATGGAATGTTCTGTAGGATGCAATCTAAATGATGGTTAGAGTATACTAAGCAATTTTCTTGGTTAGAACAGTTATGCTACTTGTACTCCATATGCTGCATATCATACGATGGCTTTATTTCTGATGTGCAAATGGGAAATTCAATTTTTAGACATAAGTTTGCATGACTTCTATTGTAGCAACAAAGAACATGGGTCAATAAATGAAAAAGAATGTGGGTTAGTCTTGTTCTCGTAATATACCATAAGAATCTTTATGCGCATTTTAATTTAATATTCCCAAAGAAAACCCTCTAAAGGCATTTATAATACTAAGAGTGTTTGTTGTAATAACTAATATAGAACATTCAATCACTACAACTCAACATTGTCACTAATATTTCAATTGAGTGACTGACATAATTATACGAAAAATTAGTTTACACACTGTGAATGTGAACATGTAATCTAAGTGTCTAGTCAACAGTTGGTGACATATGCTATCACATGTTCACATCTATCGACCTTTATTCTAAAGTATCAGCAAAGCAAAAGTAATAGAATCATTCTAATAAAAAATCAGTATTTAGGTTGAGTGCTTTTCGATATTGGAAGAAACAGGATAAACTATTTATTATTTCCAATGAACGAGTGCAGTATCACCTTTTCACTGACCACTTGAACTTGTGCTATATACATTAGTGTTATTAAAAAGTGGAATTTCTGCAGTGTTGAATAGTATGAAAAGCAAGTTCACAGCATAACACACGGCACACGGACCTCTTGAAGTAGAAGAAGTAATTTTCAGACACCAGTAAGTCTAAATTATCTTCCTTGATTCTTGGCAGTATGCTAAAATCTACTTAGCTACTTACACAACTACCAAAGTTAGTTCCAATATATCAATTTCTTTTATAGAGATTGTATAATTTAAAATAAGGAGAAATTGTGGATACATTCATCACCAATTTTGCAGAGTATTATAATGTTTCCTAGGATTTACAATATGCATTTAAAAAATTTACAACTGGACATCTTCAACAGTTATCAAATTTAAGATGCTAGTGTACACAATTTAGTAAATCATCCAAATCTTATCAAAAGCACGAGAAGTTATGTTTTTTACGAATACCTAAAATAGTAAGAAACAAGAAGAGATAAACACTTCTAAATTACACAAGAAAATATGAGCACAACTTCAGATCCAAATTAAAAATAGTCACCATAGGATTTACAAACCGTTTATAAGGATCACGTGTAGACTTGACCACCTGCTTGGATATCTGTCGAAATCTTGCCTGATTAGGAGTTCGAAGACGCCGATTGTTGTTCACGTAATCTTCAAGAACGCTTACAAAGTTTCCCAGATTATTCCTAAGAATAAGACATCAAACGATAAAAAACTTTGAGATCATAAAACTACTCAGAAGTAGCACATACTTGCATTTCAATATCCTGAAACATCTAAAATTTTGTAATAGGACTGAGCACAGCTCGCTTACTTAGTGGAGTTTTGTAAATGCCACAAATTTCACGAGACAGTCTACTGACCGAAAATATACAATATCACCAATTCTGTGAATCATCTAGTTTTTATGAGAACACTCTATCTAAATAGGGTAAGGAAATCAAGACTGAAGTTGAGGTAGTCACTCAAGATTCAGAGGTTCATTTAGTTTTAATTGTCACTCCCTTACAACTAAATCTGTCTGCTGAAGGAAGATTATCTGAAACAGTTGAATGAAAAAAACGTCCAATCGCCGATCAAATACTTACTTACAGATAAACTGACATAATTTCTTTTTCTTTACTACGACAATGAAAGTCACTAAATGCATAATTCATGAGGTTGCAGGTATTCGTTTTTCAAACATCTCTTGAATGCAATGCTACACGCATAAGTACTAATGAAGTTGAGTGTTAATTACTATGGGGGTGATTCATTATTACAAGTAACATTAGCTAGGAAAATATACCAAAAGCAACCAGCGAATATCTACACTATCTAGTGGATTGAGCCTCGCAGACTAAGGAATGCTTACATGAAGATCAAGTCAAGTATTTTCCTCTTTTAAACCATATTCCTTTTGATTTTAGAGAATCTTTGAGTATGGCACATAACGCAGTACATTACAAATATTTACGACTGCATTTAGAAGAACAGCTTATCTGGCCTCCAATCACTATTCAACTGGAATTGATATGATTATGAGTAATAATTTGTGCTCGAAACGTCATCAGTTAATATTACTGTACAACACTGTGTGATTTATCAAAAGAAAGTCTTACCCGTTAAGGAGTTATACTCTACCACAGTGCCCAAGTCTTATACTTACATTACTATTCAATTGGTTTGGATATTAATGCTATTAGCACAGAACAACAAATGAGTGCCGTGGTACAGAAAGGTCAGTAACTTTGAGTGGAAAACGTCCTGATGGGTAATTTCTAAAAACACTGAAGTATATTCCTTCCAAATCATTAACTAAACTTATTAGGGTTTCAGATGGAGTACAGGCGTTATAACAGTTGCGTGCTTCGATAAGAAATCACAGCCGACTGTCACTTTTCGACTGCTTATACCACAGAAAGTGATTTCTTCTAAGGATGACCGGCAGAAGGGAAGAATTAGTTTCGCATGACCACAGAGTCCAGGAGACAAATGTTTCAGACTCGTCACAATCAGCTTGAGTAAATGCGGTATAGTTGGAGGAGTTTGGTAAGTACGAAAAACCTCATTGTGGACTATGTTCCATCATAGGGTCATTCAGGAGACAAGATTTTCGAGAAGCATAACTTTATCATCACTCTTACACGTAAGGAAGGTAGAGACAGTGAGACCTTGCTCCCAAACATTCAGCAATGTGAAGCAAATTAAACTATGGAAACTAATTCAATTTTATTACTATTTCATACAGTAGGATCTGTGGAAGCATTCATAACAGTCAGCATCGCTCATTGGGTTACCATGACGTACAAGCTCGACAACCACAACACAGAAACAAACATCGATTAACTGCAATTTTAAGAACAGAAGAAACATATTCCGAAAACATACCATTATATAAAGTGGAGTAAACAAATAGTAACTTACAGTGCTTCAAGAGCAATTTCCAAGGCAACACGTTTATCCCCAGCGCGTAGACAGTAGAAAAGCATAGGCCAAACAGGCATTCCGTCCACAAGACCATCCTAATGAAATAAAGGTAAAATCTGGATTAACTATTTGATAAACGCAAGGTGAGCGCTACATCAGTTTATCTGTTAGTGAATCGTATAAGAAATTCTTTTTGCTGGTACTATTTAAAGTGCACCAGACTTCAGACTTACAGATGGTTAGAAATACATAGGAAACCTACTGAAGTGTGACGCATTTAATGCTTATACATTTAAAGGTGCATAAAAATCAATAAGAAGAATGAGTTTCAAACCAAACTGTCAGTGCAGGTATGATGCACAATTAGACGAACTTATTACTGGGGTTGATCACCCCTTCGCAAAATATACTTATTTGTACTACATAACAGAATGAGAAGTATATCGAATTCGCAATTTGCAATTCACACAGTTTGACGTCATCTGTTTGATACCATGAATGGTAATCGAGAAAGCAAGCACAAATGCGTAAAAACTATATACTACTGATTCATTGAGATGAGTGGTTGTACACCACTCACATCATCCAGTATAGCTTGCTAGTTTGAACTGATTCGGCTGTGGGTTGAACCGAGTACACTGCTGATGATCTCGGCCCCAAACGAGTGCAACGGCTGCCCGGTATTTATATCACTCCAACCTGGCTATCAATTGCTGCTGACTGATATGAGTGGTAAACAACTACTCATCCTGACCAAGCAGTAATATATAGTTTTAAGCACGGTAAATAAGTGATTGCAAACGGGGAATAGATAAATATGATGTAAGCAACATAAATGGTTTTCGACTACATCGTTAGCTGTCTCCAACCCATTGGTTTCACACCACACACTAATTAGCTCGACAATGCATACTTCACCCCATGGAATACTTTCATTCAGCTTAGAGGACACACTGAATTTTCTACAAAATGAAGGTTTATTGATGAGGACAGACGAATATCGTCATAATTCTGGTTTAAACACTAAAGAAAAACCAACAAGTCAGTGATTCACTGTATTAAAAAGATAACAAAATGAACTTACATCGAATTCCCAATCTTTCTGTCCGGATGACTGATGCGAATCATTTGATAAGTTTTTTGACGACAAGCGAAGACTTAGATATGCACGTATCAACGACCGCGTTCCTGGACGTCCACCAAGTTGGGCTAATCGAGGCTGCTCAGCTACTGTTAGCTTTACAAATTCTAGAAACTCGAATTCTAGATGTTCTAAAGAACACAGTGATAGAGAATTCTGAACAGACAAAGACGCTCTAGTTTCCAATGGACGATCACATGACAACATATTACCATATTCATTGCGCATGCAGTGAGCAATCCTTTTCACGAGACACCACATTTCTGTGACATCTGATTGGTAAGTTTTCAAGCGCAATTTGATCTGCTTCTCGCGAGAAAGAGAGTCATGATACATTGACAGACAGGTTAGTAGATCGCGGGGAACCCCATTTTGAAAAGAAGTAAAGTCAGTAGAAGTTGTGAGGTGTAGAGAAAGGTAATAGTCCAGCTGTGAGTCATTTGGGAATAAAATAGGAGTACAGCTATTATTAAAGGTAAAAGCTGTATAATAAAATCATATAACACAGGCCATTTTTAAAACATTTCATAACTACAAATTAAGCCAGAGGGCATCACGTTCATATGGTAAATTGCAATTCACCATTCAGAAATGTAGTCACTACCGTAACCTGGATTATCACACAGGTTATATTATACTGTTAAATATATATGAAATGATAGTTGAAATAATACTTCGAGAAATTTTATAAACTCTTGAGAATTTGATCGGTGAATTGGTTGGGATTTTTTAAGAATGTGGATTCATTTGCTGTATGTCGACCTGCTATAAAATGTTTTAATATAAATTAGAAGCAGTTGTATTTCTCAATATTAAGTCTATCGTGGATTAGTTGGACTGAGTTCTACTGTGTTAACTGCCCCTGGCAAAAGTCATTTTTGACACAATACTACAGGAAATTTGTAGTGTAACATTACGTGAATCTGTTACAAAGAGAGAAATTCTTGATCTTAAATAGGCACTAAAATATAACTACCTAAGGGAAAATAAACCAAATGATGATCAGCATCTTTAGGATATGCTTTGAACAAAAGACGCTTAAACAGTTCCAAGAGTATTCAGTGAAAAGATGGGTGAAACATCTGAATCTAATGAAGCATCCGTTTAGTCTTAACGGATAACAAACGGTAAATAAATGTCATTATCATAAGCAATCTTGTTGACAGTATCCAACTATTCATCAATCTCGACCTCAGCCAAACAGTTTACAAGTGTCAACGAGGCTCACACCAACAGTTAATGACTTCCTAGGTTGGTACAATGTGTCATCTTAACAACCTGTAACTCTTTTCCAACTTAGTCCTACTTCATTACTGACTGACTGGTTTCAACATAGAACTTTGCACCGATATGCAGCAGTTCGAGTCGCCACATTACATACTTCATTAGCATAATCCTCAATCCACGAAGCTTCGCCCAACTTCTACACCACCAAATAAGGATTATTAAACAAAGACATATGGTCAAAAATCTCTAACCAATTATATATATATATATATATATATATATATCTTGCTTTCAGTCACTATATCTCAGAATGAGGGCTTGACAAATAGAGTGGAGTTCTGCAAAATAAAAACGTGATGTCCCATATAAGTGAGGTCGTAAACGTATTCAGCCATTTCACTACCTGTCTGTAAACTACGGCTTGGTACGCTGGCTAAAATCACCTTATGAACACAACATTCATTATCCTGTAACAATTGATTTCTCTGATATGCCATCTTACCCATGTCATTTCTGGTTTTCAAAGTATACGAAGTTTGTATATATGACCAGAGCAACTTTTGAACTCATGAAATTAACTAACTTTATCGAAATGATTGTAAACAATGATGATTCAAGATTTTGGGACCTAATTAAGAGGTATGAAAATGTATGAGCAGGTATGCTGAATGTTGATCACTTACAGTAAAACCTAACAGTAAATAATGTGAAGAAATTCAAAGGCATCATTTGACTGTTTTGATTAGCTAACAGAACAATTTCTACCTCATAGATTACATACAAAATATTACCATGTTGGATTCACATGGCGAAAAAGCAGACATGGGCCCTACTATGCACCTAGTCAATATTTTAGCGCTTCAACAAGCCATACATGAGTGCGAATTTTGACGACTGTGGTGCTACTGGAAAGTGGGAGTTCGTGGTTAGTATAAGAAGTATTCAAAAAGTACCTGGTTTGCGTATATTAGTTCATCATGTGTTAGATTTAAAGTTTTTCTTTGATCCAGTAAATTTGGTTGATTGTAGTTTTCTAAATCAGGCGTACATATAAATTCAGTGTCTGCATGTGCGATCGAACCGGACAAACTACTCAATACTCCATTGGCCACTTGTTCCCACCAGCTTTGCAAATAAGCCTCGCAACGTTCCTCTACCTCTTCAAACATCTGTGGGGGAAAATTAAATCATAAAAAGCATCTCAACTACTAAGAAATGTTATTACAGGGAGGAAATAAACGAACATGTCATTTCGAAAGCTATGGAGTCTAACATAAACCCAGTTTTAAATAAGCTGTACTCCAATGACATTTACCCTTTGTCTAAATTGACATAAAAGAAACTTGTTAATGCTAGTAGCCACAGCACACACCGATAAAAGGAAAACAGCTAACAAAAATGATTTTTTTTTATATCCATGATCAAAACCCTGGTCACCGCTCTGTTTCAAATGCAAGAAACTAGTAGATCAGGAACACATGTTACGTAAGCACTCAGCTACACATATGATTATTACAGTTGTGTAGTGTTAATATGACAACCACAGAGCTTTGTTTCCCTTTCCAGCAATGACGGCGCATTTATTCTACCAAAACTGACATAAAACGACAGCTACTCATATATTTCTCAAAGGTAGTCATCGAAAAGACACTCAATCTTTCACTTTCAAGACTGTAGTCAATCAGTTTTCTTAATTAAAATAAGCCCTTAATGATGGTTTCGTAATTTTACTGTTTCATAGTCATCAAGAGGTAATGCTATTTTGTCCTGCAAACGCTCGCAAACATGAGGAAGTTTAGGAAACAAATTCTGATTCAGATACACACTATAAGGATAGAAGGCTGTTGTCGATTATGTTAACCCTTGAGATATGCATCTCTGCAAAAAAACCTAGTTTCTCGTTGAAAGTGTTACTACTGAACTAAGTAAGGAGTTCCAGTCGTTGACCAATCTGTGAGAGAATCTAAATTACACACGTATTTTGTCCGACCTTGGTTTGAGCACCTTTTAGTGGTAACCTCGTAAATGTATTCTGGAGGGAGAGAAAAGGTTTGAAAGGTCAATCCTTAAATCACCCTTTAATATACGATATGCCAAAATTAAGTCACCTCTCTTCCTTTGGTATGATAATGGGAAGAGATTTAAATGCTCCATCCTCTTAACAGAAAATGGTATGGAATATCAAACAGCTTATGAAACAGACTTCATCAATTGTCTTAAGTGGTAGGCTAGTAAAAATGACACAAAACTGAAACTATAGAACCAACTGGTTGTGAAAAAACTATGGCTTACGGATTTCCTGGTCATAAGAAGTGCGCTGAGAAGTACGTTCTCCCTTTCCGACTTAAGAAATGACTGGATATCGGATTCCGGAATTCGGGAGACAGTTTCATATACGTTGGCAGGTACCAAGGCTTCCAATTTACAGGTTAATTTCTGAGGTAGCTCGTAACTCATTTTCGGACCCAAGAGACGAGCAGCTTTTACTTCAGTGCCAGATCCCCTCGATGGACAAAGTCTTTCACCCATGTGCTGTATTTGTACCAGATTTCGTGTGATATGAGGCAAATCATTGTCATCTTGGACTTCCATGAGGAGTTTCTCAGACTCCTCAACCAATTTATCAAGCACACAATCCATTTCAAACGTTAGGCGTGAGAACAACCAAGAAGAACCGAATGTCGCTCCAACAAACTAAATCAACCCAACAATATCCAATATACAGGTATATGACTTTTCACTTAGAATAGAAAGCTTCGAGATAATGCTGGACTTTCTCTACCATTTATCTCTGTTTTCCTTCCCTTTCTCTTGAATGAATTGACTGATAAACCAAATACCACACCTACTAGTCGATTCCAATAGTCGACGCTTAAATAGCGCGCAAACTTTGAAAAGAGAGTAAACTTTGCACTCTCCTGTTTAATTTTGGCTTTTGTTGTGCTATACGCTCCAAACGTCTATAGATTAACTCTAAATCAGTTTTTTATCTGTTCGAATTTAGTTTTCTTTATAGTTTTGAGTTTATTTTACTCATAGGAATTGTGTTATATTAACATTAGTGATTATACATCCATTTTGTACACTTATTGGTTTTTCCATCACTGGCCTATGTAAAAAATTTTCCTTGGGCTGAATTTGAATCTTCTAGTCCCAATTCACTCTGAAAAGTATGCCTATCAAAAGGAACCGCTGCGGAAGAGTTGTGTCAATTTCCACTCTCAGTGGGGCGTTAAGGCCCTTAGGCTGTTCGGTTTTTCCACCGCAGAAGAGGGGCGACTACTGCTCTGACACCTGTAACGTGACTAGCGTCATCCCTGACGGATACTCATTCGTTGTGCGTCTCCGTCAGGGAGTGAATGCCCTTCAGTGCAGAGGAACATCCACCATATTCCGGACACCCATGATGCCCCTACGACACTGGATTAGCTTAGCCCTCTAGTGACATTAATGGAAAGAGTGGCACGAGGAAAAGTCATAACAGGGGTCAAAAACCCGCGGAATCAGTCGACAAGGAACCTGTAGATCAAGCCCATCCACATCGGTGGACAGCAGGCAGACACAATCGACCACACTTAGCGAGGAGGCCGTCAATGAATGGTGTGATGTGGTCTCCCTCAGAAAGCGAGATAAGGACACCATAGTGGCCAAACTATCCACAAAGGACGGAAAGATACTTACGCTGCACGGGGCAAGAAAGTCACCGCAAGCAAACCTCATCCTCAAGATGCAAGTGAGTTGGTGTAGTCTTCTACCCCCAGAAATGCTTATACGTGAGCAGAAACGAAGTCTCTCCGACGAAATTGGAAAGTGAGAACTTCTACGCTGAAGACTCAAGTGCGTAGGTCAAGATATTAACCTCATTGATATATATTGCAGTGCAGACGACTTCCTGATAGAGATGGGCTCCTGAATATCTGAGTATCAAGGTCTCGGAGTCGGCGACTTAAACGCCTCAACAGTTGACTAGACGAGCCTCACGGCGCCATCTTCAGACAACTCTGATTATGAACTGCTGGAATCTAGCATTTCGCTAGCACCAGTCCAACATATCATGAAGCCCACGCACTATGATCCACAGTGAGCCTCTTCAACACAAAATCTAATGTTCTCCAATGGTGAGGATGCGGATCTCTTTCGTCCTCCTCCTTTAGGAAGAAGTGATCACTCGGTGCTCACTTTAAAGTTCACAGAAGCAGTATCATGGGCCATGAGCCCAGCTCAACCAAACGTTTCAAAAGCTGATATAAACGCGATCGTCCCAGCAGCCAACTCAGTGAACTCGTACATAAAACCAGAGCCACAAGTAGAAGCGGCATGGAACCAGTTTAAAAAATACACGCCCAGGCAACCAAAACTTTCATCCCCTGGTCTGCACCGAAGGGTAAGAATCATTTCCTCCTCTGGGTAAATTGAGAGATTCATAAGTTACTTGGGCGTAAACAAAAGTGTTGGAAGTAGTTTCACACACTTGAGACTCCTGAGACCAGGAAATTATGCAACACCGACAAGAACAAATATATACCAGAATACCGTCAATGAAGAATGACGTCCAAGACACGCCTGACTCCAAATGAAACGGCGTGACCTAAGAAGCATTCATCGTAGATTAATTTCCAATGCAAATTCTTGTCAAGCGCGAGTCAGTTTTGGGTTCTGCTATTCTGTTATCGATATTCGGATGCGAGATAAACTTATATTTATATGTTTGTCCCATGTTTATCTCACATATTCGACTTAACACAACAGTAATCCTGCAGTCTTTCAATGTTCAGCTATCAATCTAATTATATTTACAGCCCTTTGTCTTTCCTTCGATTTCGGTCAAGACAGCGAGTCCGTCCCTTCAAATGTTTATCCATGCAGTGGCTTTGAAATACAATACCAAGAATTTCTAAACAACGCTCTTTGAGCTGTGGACGGATGGAAAATTCATAAAATACTAGTCACTCGTAAATACGGCATAAATTTGACTTTGGCAGTCATATGAAAATTTCACCAATGGATGACTTCCTGAAGTGGTTTCTCATCATTAAAGAACAGAGTAGTCTCCACACAGTTTCCTCAGCTTATTAAAAAAGTTAAATCGGAAACCAATGGCTAACGAAAGTAAATCCAGGGAAATCACTAGTTCCTGACAATCTCCATCCAAGGCTTCTCAAGGGGCTACCAGCTCATATAGCCGGCTCACTAACCACGATCTTCGAGCTATCTCTCCTAAATGGAGTGTTACTGCGTGACTGGAAAGACGCCACAGTAGCCTCCATGCACAAATGAGGATCAGGACAAATTCCTTTAAACTACAGGCCTATTAGTCCCACCGGTACTTTAATCATGCCACTGGAGAGAATCATCAAGAAAGGTATCATGGCATATCTGGAAAACAACAACGACCCGTTGACGCCGCCTTCATAGACTTCAGCAAAACCTTCCATAAAGTTCCCCACAAAGGAATACTGATGAAGTCGGAAGGTCTTGGCATCAAAGGCAGCTTACTAAAGTGGCTCAGGGAATTCCTCATAGATAAGAGGCGGAGGGTTAGGATCAACTGAAAACTCTCCTCCTGGACAGCAGTGCGTAGCGAAGTGCCATAGGGCACAGTACTCGGACCTCTCCTATTTATTTTGGATAGCAATGGGTTATCTCCGCTCACCGTCTCCCCTATGGTCCTATACGCAGGTGACTTAAAAATCTGGAGAGAGCTGAAGAGTGGCAGTGATACACTCATGTTGCAAGAGGACTTCAACAAATTATCAGAGTGGTCCAGAGAATGCGTGCTCCTGATCAACATAGCGAAATGTGCAGTCATGGGCATCGGGCACGCAAGCATCAGCTCCTACGAACTAGAGGGAATAAAATTCACATCAGTTCAGACTTATTTGGATTTGGGTGTTATAGCAAGTCACGACTTAGAAACTACAGCATATCATCGCGTGGTGGTTGTATGTAGTTTCAGATCCTTATGCCCAATTCGCAGAGCCGTCACTACAATCAGCAGAGATATCTTCGCCTCCTTATATACATCTCCGGTGAGGTCGAGACTAGGAAACTGCATCCAGGCAGCCAGTCCTCGTGCTAAAGAGGACTCACATTATCTAGAAAGCGCTCAAAGGAAGGTAACACGTATAACTCTTGGCATGCCTAATTTATCACACGAGGAAAGACGAGATAGGTTAAATCTCTTCTCCCCAGCATGCCGTAGGCAGAGAGATCCCATTACAATGTATAAAACTTCATATAATGACTGAGGACCTGATCTATTCTCTCTTTTCATTCCCACCAGGTAGGGACACCTTAGAGGACATAGCAGGCGAGTTCAAAAGCCAAGGAGATACCATATTGCTGTGGAGTACTAATTCTCACGCCGAGTCATAAACACCTGGAATCGATTCCCAGAAGAAGTGTGGTCTGCCACCTCAACTGATTCACTCACGTAGGGTTTGCACAAACACAGAAAATTACTAGAAAAGGCCTAACAAAGGCTAAAAGCCTTAGTAACTCAACCAATAATCCTTAATATGTGTCACAAACATTTTCTGAGGAAGGTTAGCCAAATGTAGCCCACCGAAAATATTTCCACTTGGAAAAAATTTTCAATCCAAAATTCCATTTTACAAGCACACGAGAAAAGTAACTCATCTCTAAACCACCACAGCAAGCGGGTACGACGCTACAGATAGCAGGGATATGTGACAAAGCCACTCCAAACTTTCTAATATCGAGTTTTGAGGTCCACACGAAATATTCGTTTTACTGTATCAGCCGATGCTGATGTCTGCCAAATACTATTAGCTGTTATTTGAAACTTAAAAAGCGAGGTTTATCCACTCTTGATGGACTTCAGCACTACAACGACTCAAACGTTTTACTATCCACCGTGATATTCGTAGATATCCGGTATCAAGTATCTATATGTACGATCTGGAAACCTTAATGTTCTTTTCAGTGGCTTTTTTTAGCTGAATTCCCAATTTGAGCTCACTTGGTGGCAGTGAATTGACGGTTATATATATATATATATATAATGCACATATACACATATATATGGTCTTCTACGCAGTTCAACCCAAGCCTTGCCCTTCGTGGTTTAGGCAAATTCCGGGAAAATCACCCTCGACTTATGATCATCAAGGGAGGTCACAACAACAAAACATGCAGCATTAGCTCTACACGAAGGGGCAAGGTCGCGTTTCCATATATGTGTAGTTCCTAATACTCAGTCATCACAGTTCTAGGAATTACACACTAACTGCTCATAAGACCAATAATTAACAGACTCACTGGAACTAAGTGATCTTGCCAATGGGTCGTTGAGGACATCCTCACGCCAGTCTGTAGAGAGTACAGTATCATGGGTCAATAAGTCCTGTTACTTTCTGCTCGGAGTTTGCTAGTTCCGCAACAATTTATTATTATTAAAGTCAGCCGATTTCCATGGAAATTTTTAAGTTGAGTGTGGATATTCATGGGGAAATACACTGATTACTTTTTGTAGACTGTTCTGAAACACTCAGAGCCTACTTTAATTCTATTAATGACGCTCACTGAGTTTATTCACCCACCCACGCGTTTTCATCTTAATAATTTATTTTTTCGCGTTTTTTCGGGGAATCCATAACTGTGACTAATGTTGCAAAGATAGTGTTGTCAACATTATTGTCCTAAGCGTACAAGAAACCAAAATTCAAGCGAGCCCTGACGACGGAAAAGCAAAATGGACACAAACAAAATATAACCGGTTCCAATGCTGATTTTCCCGGAATTTGCCTAGACCACGAAGGGCAAGGGTTGGGTTGAACTGCGTAGAAGACCATATATATGTGTATATGTGCATTATATATATATATATACATATATGTATAACCGTCAATTCACTGCCACCAAGTGAGCTCAAATTGGGAATTCAGCTAAAAAAAGCC